AGAATAACTGTAGGTGTCTATGGAACACAATACCCATTTACCATCACGACTGTATGCTCGTCACCCATGTTCTATAATAAAATAGATTTTACAAGATTTTCCGCCCGATATAAGTTCTGAAGTACCCTCAAGTCGCGCCTAAAGGAATTTTACATAAAAACTTAGGTTTTGACAAACAAATTAGTTTTTACTTAACAAAAACTTTTGAACATCAAAAACAACTTACATTTTTCTTCTTCAGTTAAATCATAAAATTTCATATTAATTAATAGTTTAAAGTTCCTCTCCAAGAAACCCACAACCACCCCTCTCGTGCTTTCACTGTTATCAGACGAACTGCAAGCGAAAATCATCCTTACTGCCTCAAGAATACATTTCTCATTTGCATCGCTCTCTCTTAGTTTTTTCATTAGAAAGCTTGTTAAGCTGTACAAGTAGATATGAGTGAATTTCTCATGCTCATTTTCAACGAGATGAATCAATTCATAGATAATTACTTCATCTGAGAGTTCTTTTTTGTTTAAATTTGCTTCAATTATATATTTTTGTGTATCGTCTTCTAAAGATAGCACTTTGAGGCATTTTTGTTTGCATTCTAAATATTTTGCTGTTTTTAGCACTTGGCTCAGTTCGCTCGTGTATTTGGGATCTGTCTTCAAAATTTCTAAAATGCTTTCATTCCTTAATAAAGATAAATGCTCTTGGAGTTTATCTTCAGGGTCTAGTTCGTTGTAGAGAATAAGGAGATAGTTTAAAGAGGCTAAAACAATTTCGTAACTTTTGTGTGACAGTGCTGTATAGATAAGTCTCTGTATTTCGTCAGTGTTGCCATATTTATTCAATATTATAAAGTATAAGCTTGTAGCGTTTGCTAAACAAATGTCTCGTCCAGGAGCAATTACTGCATGGTTATCGTGAGTAAGAAGTATATTTAGATATTCAATTACTTTTTCTATTATATTCTGATTTATTAGCGACGGGAATCTGTAAAGAAATTAATTTGGTTTGTAAACTACACAGTTATATAAAGTATATTAAAGAATTAAGATAGTAGTAGTAGTAAGTAATATAAAATTTCAAACGAGTTGTTTTTCTTTTTTTCAAGTAATAAGAAATTATCCTTTATTATCAAAGACTTCTATGTATAGTACTAAACGAGTACTACATTACTAATACACTGGGCACTACTACAACTAATATACGCTCAATGAATGCGAAAAAGTCGTGGATGCCCTCGAGTTTTTCTGCCACCAGGGCGGCAAAATAAGTAATTTAAGATATTAATAAAATATGTTTAGTTGTATGATTCCGAAACTCCTTTAATAATTAATTTTATCTATGTAGTTGACGAGGTTTACTTCCGGTTGATGACGCAACTGTTCGTTTATTTATTTAACAGATTTCATAGCAGGGAAGTTAATTTGTTCGAAAAATATAAAAGTTAATGTTTCTTTCTGTATTATTAATTATTATATTATATTTTATATTAATTATATTAAAAATAAATAAACCAAACCACAGATATTCATACAAGCAGAAATTTTCAAAAAGTTAAAAAATTAGTAAAAAATGTGCAAAATAAAAAGAGCAAACCGCTAAGGCATTGTATTGTTTATTAATATAATACTCTAGAAACTGATAAACTTTTATTTAAAATTAAGTTCTCAATTAAATGACATTTTGTAACAAAAAACTTCACCTCAGTATCAACTAGCGACACCTGGTGAGTGGATTATCATTAGCCCTCACTCTCCGTAATTCCTTTAGTCGACTGCGAGCGGCCGAGAAAACTAGTTTTGCTTTGTAAACCGCGTACGTTGTTTCTGAAAATATCACTGATTTTGTTTAATGTGACTAAGAAAACGCTGTTATTATTTATGCCAAGTTTATTTCAGGAAAATGTGTAACTTTACTTGGCATTTGCCGAAAAACAGTAAATGAAAACACAACTGCGTGGCGTATTTAACGTGCTAACCATGGAGCAAATACAAAGAGGTGTTGTAATTAGATTTCACCGTGTAACAACGCGTGACAATTTGCGGGGTGAGGGAATGTTAAGACCCGCCCACTTTTCTATCTACCGATAAATAGTAAAACTACTCACATCGTTCCATATCGATGTTGCAATGTAGTTTAGCTACCTTGACGATAGATAGCGCTTGTTCACAAAATGATTATAAAACTATAAAAATAATATTTTGGCGATTAAAACTTTTTTAGAAATGAACGCAAAACAATTTTCAACCTTCGTATGATTATTTTACCAATACTGACCTCTACGTACCTTTATATTTTATTTCACATGATACAAAGTGTCGCCATCTAGTGTCAAATATATTTAATTATATTTGAAAGCCAACGCAAAGAGCTTTTTCTATAAATATTTTAATAAATCAGGTGTAAAATTACTTACAAATGAAATGTGATGCCATCCATAGCATCAGAGCGTCTATGTGAGTAGTTTTTACACGATAGAACACAATACTTCATCCATTTCTTCTTAATAATACAAAAATACACCGATTTGCGATTTTCAACACATAAGCGCACAGGCCGAATGCTGACAGTATACTAACATAAGCCACGCCTACTATGATGACGTCAGGACCTACTTAGAATAGAAGGAACCTACTTAGAAAGAGGAGACGGCATAAGCAACTGTGCTCTCAACTCTTTGTATTTGCTTCATGGTGCCAGCTAACCGGTCACGCTAAACACAGCTGTGGATACAGTTTTTGTGCGGAATTGCCAATTTAGTAGTATTTATTTACCAAAATTCATTCCATCAGGTTAGCCGCATGGTCGTTTGCCTATGCGTTTTTTTTTTGCTTTGCTGCTATAAAAAAATAAGTCACACATTTCACCTCCAGATCAGCAAATTGACCATCTTCCAGTACTCGTCCATAAGCAAGTAGCATGGCAGCTGGTCCACTGTCAGCTCCAATATCCACTGTGTGGACTCTATATGACTTTGCAGCCGTTCGATGGCGTCTTCTTCCAGGGTCAGGTTGTCTGGCTTATTGTCAAGCAGTTTTATAACCTGGGATAAAATAGAACATGGTTTCTTTATTTTTTTATCCCTACGAAGGTGGTGCATAACCAATTTTTAAAGACATCTGGTTAATTAATATGGATTATTGGCTTTTTTTACAGAATAAGAATGACAAACGAGCACACAGTCCACCTGATAGTAAATTGTTGCAGTGCACAATAAAGAATCAAAATGCAGATGAGTTGTCATCCGTGAGACTTGAGATGGAATGCTTCGTTTCCAGTAAAAAGTATTCTGTGAGTGCATGGTCCTTCCCCGGTCGAGCCGACCCATTCGTACTACAACCATAATATAGCTGCAGCGTGGCTCTACCACGTATAAAACCTTTAAATAATTTGTTTTTTTTTTCTCTCATATGTATTTCTGGTGTAGGATAAAATATATTTCATTCATTCATTTCAACGTGCAAGTTAATGATACTGTGGTTTTAAATCCCAACCTCTTAGTCCAGAACGGTCTAGTAGTTGCAATTTCACTCACCTGCAGGAGTATACCGTGACAGAAGTTCCTTTTTATCTTCTTGTCGGCGATCAAAGTAAGCATTTCTTCTATATGAGGTATGTATCTGTACGAGAAGAGAAGAAGACATTTCTTTCGTGACTTTATAATTCAATGAGAATACTATTAAATCACGTTACCTTTCCGTTAAGGACTAATTTAATTTTTTAAATCATTAATTCACATGAGATACAACTAGGTGGCGCTAGGGGTATATTTTGTACAACATGAACAATTATAACAAAGACAAGTAAAAATAATACAAGACGAGTAAAAATTAAAGCGACGTGGTGGGATATATATAGGCTGTATCTTCCAAGTTCATATTCAAGTTGCATTATTTTGAAATTCCCTTAAATTCCCGAATAAGTATTAAACGAAAAATAAATAAAAAAACTTTCGACTGCAACTCATAAATACATGGTGAGAACTGAAATTAAGGTAGAAATGTTATAACTTACAAGTTAGGCGATATAAGTGGCACTATGGCCCTGGCGGCTAGCTGCCTGGTCTTCAGCACCGAGCTGCGCGCACACGATACTACGGGCCCGATGAAAGAAGCCAGCTTGAAATAACGGAATATACGTGGTAGAGCCACGCAGCTATATTATGGTTATAGCAGAAATAGGTCGGTTCGACAAGTCGGTGAAGGATCACGATCTCTCAGGATACCATCGTGAAATTGTTTTTTATGGATAAACATTTTTGTTTTAAGAAACGTTAAACCCACACTTGGATTTTCTTCTGTATCGTGGATACAGTTTATAAACGTAAATTGCACAAGGACAAACATCCAGACCCGGAACAATTATTTGTAGGCCTTACAAGCCTCACTGGTTCGAATCCCACACGGTACAACCGTGTGGGATTCGAACCAGCGGCCCCCAGCGCAACAACTCATTGCAAAAGCCACTGCGCCACTGCGCCGCGGAGCCGTCAAATATGATAATTTCTGTGACTAAATGAAATAAGGTAGATTTTTTACGTTATTGTACGTACATTACAGACAGAACATAGTGATACTAATATCATAATCTATACGTATAAATAAAATTGCAGTTTCTGTCTGTAATATCCAAATAAATGCTTTGTATTTATTTAAAATGTTTATTTTTCTGTCGATTGTAATAAAACTTAACAGATAGAGAAGCAATGCCAGAAGTAATCTAGGCTATAAATTTATACGAAAAACTTAAAGATTTTTTTAAAAACGGATAATTAATAAAACAATCGGTCTTTAATTATCTTAAATTGAAATAACACTATATTAATAGATGTTTATTAGGCCCAGATGGGGTAGGTCGCTAGAAAAGAATAATATTTTTTGTAGCCTATGCTGCATAATAAATTATTTGATTTGGTGCTGCGGCGACCGATTGTTGACGTTCATGAAATGCTGTTACCGCCAATGCTAAATTAAAACCGTCTCCATACAGTTTTATACATTTTGCTAATCTGCTTCATCGTAACGGTAAAAACTGCAGTGCTGTCCATGGAAAGTAAAATTATAAAAGCGTCTAATATAAAAAAAGGCGGCATATTACAAAACACAGTAGGACATCCGAAAAATCGTTGAAAAACACAAGCAATGATGACAACATAAATGAAATGATGTACCTTCAAATTGGAGACTGTTCCCTCTAAAGCAGACGGATAAAGTCTGGCCAGCAGTAAGAGAATGGGGTACAGGGACGGCGTGAGCAACTGGGCATCGTCGTTTCCACTCGCTTGTAGTTTCTCCTGTAGACGTGTGTTATTAGCCAATGAAAAAATATTGTTGGCTGAGATAACTAGATATCCGCTGGAGTTGATGTGTCATAATATAGACGGCGCTTAGGTAAATGCAGCGTAGGACGCTCCCTGGGAGCACCGATCTGTGCAAGACGGCTGGCAGCAACTGGATGCGTGAAGCCGAAGATCGGGACAAGTGGCGCGCTTTAGGAGGTCTATGTCCAGCAACCGACTGCCGCAGGCTAATGATGATCATGATGATGAAGAGATAACTACTAATATACGTCCCCCTGTATCCTCTGTTAGGGTACACCTACTATCATTTTTATGAGAGGTATGGAATGCCATATGGAGGTATAAGCGAGACCAACACGCCATTTTATCCTGTATGTGTCGTGAGAGTCAGGTCGGAGTCCGAGTGGGGCGGTACATGAAGTACATAGGCCTTCACGTGGACAGTCGATGCGGCTTCGAAGAACACTTGTGGCCCTGCCAATATGCGGCGAAGGAACACCATGAGGTTTTAGGTATTGCAAGTCCAACATAACCGTTGCCCCCGCGAGGTATTTCCCCATGTAAAACAAGGTGTCGTAAGAGATAACTAAAGTAAAATGCTGCATCTTGTCGCTACCAATAGATGGCGGTACAATGTTGTCATTTACGCCAGATATAAACTATCAATAAAATGTTAATTTTTAATTGTTACAAGAAAGTCGCTGCTGCCCATCTCCTGGTTTGTTTCTCTGTGTCGCCTTTAAGATCCACGGGACGATATGTGAAGCGGATATTCTTAAACTGTCACCTCGCGTTTAAAGAGTTAAGTTTTTAATACGTGGTAGAGCCATGCTGCAGCTATATTAGTAGTATAGTTGTAGCACTAATGGGTCGGCTGGACCGCGGAAGGATCACGCTCTCACAGAATACCAGCGTAAAATAGAAGCTTAACGCTGCTGTGTTTCGTATGGTGAGTGTAGAGAACCGGAGACCCTTTTTACTGGAAAAGAGGCATTCCATCTTAGTTCTTATGGGTGACAACGCATCTGTATTTTGATTCGCAAACGAGGATAAATGTAGATGTCTATGGGCCACAGCAACCATTTACCATCAGGTGGACTGTGTGCTCGTTTGTCACCCTATCCTATAAAATAAAAAGAATCTATGTACTCAGAATTTTTTAAATTATTTGAAAATAGTTATCAATCTTTATATAAAATAGGCTGTAAGGTGAGCGGTAAATCCATATAGATCATAGATGTACATAGGTATCTAAGGATTATAGTATCCATTTACCATCAAGTGAGCTGTGTTGCCATAACCTCTATACAAAAAGAAGAAATATTGCATAAATACCAATAAGTGGTTTTCAAGTTACTTAATTCAATAACTGTAATGAGGTGTTCCATTGACTTCCTGCAAAGGTTCGTAAAAGCACATATTTATAATGTAGAAATTGTATAGGTCGTATCAGTCCGGTAAAATCGCTGATGGTTCCCGATTTCACTAGGAAGTTCCAGAAGAAAGCTTGTGGTGAAGGATAAGTTACAGCGGAAGGCACTGACCAGCATGAAGTCGTAGAGTTGCGGGTAGCGCAGGAAGAACATCCTGCCGGTCATGGTGTTCCTGCTGGACAGCCGGTCCGCGCTCCGCACCGAACATAAGTTACAGCGGAAGGCACTGACCAGCATGAAGTCGTAGAGTTGCGGGTAGCGCAGGAAGAACATCCTGCCGGTCATGGTGTTCCTGCTGGACAGCCGGTCCGCGCTCCGCACCGAACATAAGTTACAGCGGAAGGCACTGACCAGCATGAAGTCGTAGAGTTGCGGGTAGCGCAGGAAGAACATCCTGCCGGTCATGGTGTTCCTGCTGGACAGCCGGTCCGCGCTCCGCACCGAACATAAGTTACAGCGGAAGGCACTGACCAGCATGAAGTCGTAGAGTTGCGGGTAGCGCAGGAAGAACATCCTGCCGGTCATGGTGTTCCTGCTGGACAGCCGGTCCGCGCTCCGCACCGAACATAAGTTACAGCGGAAGGCACTGACCAGCATGAAGTCGTAGAGTTGCGGGTAGCGCAGGAAGAACATCCTGCCGGTCATGGTGTTCCTGCTGGACAGCCGGTCCGCGCTCCGCACCGAACATAAGTTACAGCGGAAGGCACTGACCAGCATGAAGTCGTAGAGTTGCGGGTAGCGCAGGAAGAACATCCTGCCGGTCATGGTGTTCCTGCTGGACAGCCGGTCCGCGCTCCGCACCGAACATAAGTTACAGCGGAAGGCACTGACCAGCATGAAGTCGTAGAGTTGCGGGTAGCGCAGGAAGAACATCCTGCCGGTCATGGTGTTCCTGCTGGACAGCCGGTCCGCGCTCCGCACCGAACATAAGTTACAGCGGAAGGCACTGACCAGCATGAAGTCGTAGAGTTGCGGGTAGCGCAGGAAGAACATCCTGCCGGTCATGGTGTTCCTGCTGGACAGCCGGTCCGCGCTCCGCACCGAACATAAGTTACAGCGGAAGGCACTGACCAGCATGAAGTCGTAGAGTTGCGGGTAGCGCAGGAAGAACATCCTGCCGGTCATGGTGTTCCTGCTGGACAGCCGGTCCGCGCTCCGCACCGAACATAAGTTACAGCGGAAGGCACTGACCAGCATGAAGTCGTAGAGTTGCGGGTAGCGCAGGAAGAACATCCTGCCGGTCATGGTGTTCCTGCTGGACAGCCGGTCCGCGCTCCGCACCGAACATAAGTTACAGCGGAAGGCACTGACCAGCATGAAGTCGTAGAGTTGCGGGTAGCGCAGGAAGAACATCCTGCCGGTCATGGTGTTCCTGCTGGACAGCCGGTCCGCGCTCCGCACCGAACATAAGTTACAGCGGAAGGCACTGACCAGCATGAAGTCGTAGAGTTGCGGGTAGCGCAGGAAGAACATCCTGCCGGTCATGGTGTTCCTGCTGGACAGCCGGTCCGCGCTCCGCACCGAACATAAGTTACAGCGGAAGGCACTGACCAGCATGAAGTCGTAGAGTTGCGGGTAGCGCAGGAAGAACATCCTGCCGGTCATGGTGTTCCTGCTGGACAGCCGGTCCGCGCTCCGCACCGAACATAAGTTACAGCGGAAGGCACTGACCAGCATGAAGTCGTAGAGTTGCGGGTAGCGCAGGAAGAACATCCTGCCGGTCATGGTGTTCCTGCTGGACAGCCGGTCCGCGCTCCGCACCGAACATAAGTTACAGCGGAAGGCACTGACCAGCATGAAGTCGTAGAGTTGCGGGTAGCGCAGGAAGAACATCCTGCCGGTCATGGTGTTCCTGCTGGACAGCCGGTCCGCGCTCCGCACCGAACATAAGTTACAGCGGAAGGCACTGACCAGCATGAAGTCGTAGAGTTGCGGGTAGCGCAGGAAGAACATCCTGCCGGTCATGGTGTTCCTGCTGGACAGCCGGTCCGCGCTCCGCACCGAACATAAGTTACAGCGGAAGGCACTGACCAGCATGAAGTCGTAGAGTTGCGGGTAGCGCAGGAAGAACATCCTGCCGGTCATGGTGTTCCTGCTGGACAGCCGGTCCGCGCTCCGCACCGAACATAAGTTACAGCGGAAGGCACTGACCAGCATGAAGTCGTAGAGTTGCGGGTAGCGCAGGAAGAACATCCTGCCGGTCATGGTGTTCCTGCTGGACAGCCGGTCCGCGCTCCGCACCGAACATAAGTTACAGCGGAAGGCACTGACCAGCATGAAGTCGTAGAGTTGCGGGTAGCGCAGGAAGAACATCCTGCCGGTCATGGTGTTCCTGCTGGACAGCCGGTCCGCGCTCCGCACCGAACATAAGTTACAGCGGAAGGCACTGACCAGCATGAAGTCGTAGAGTTGCGGGTAGCGCAGGAAGAACATCCTGCCGGTCATGGTGTTCCTGCTGGACAGCCGGTCCGCGCTCCGCACCGAACATAAGTTACAGCGGAAGGCACTGACCAGCATGAAGTCGTAGAGTTGCGGGTAGCGCAGGAAGAACATCCTGCCGGTCATGGTGTTCCTGCTGGACAGCCGGTCCGCGCTCCGCACCGAACATAAGTTACAGCGGAAGGCACTGACCAGCATGAAGTCGTAGAGTTGCGGGTAGCGCAGGAAGAACATCCTGCCGGTCATGGTGTTCCTGCTGGACAGCCGGTCCGCGCTCCGCACCGAACATAAGTTACAGCGGAAGGCACTGACCAGCATGAAGTCGTAGAGTTGCGGGTAGCGCAGGAAGAACATCCTGCCGGTCATGGTGTTCCTGCTGGACAGCCGGTCCGCGCTCCGCACCGAACATAAGTTACAGCGGAAGGCACTGACCAGCATGAAGTCGTAGAGTTGCGGGTAGCGCAGGAAGAACATCCTGCCGGTCATGGTGTTCCTGCTGGACAGCCGGTCCGCGCTCCGCACCGAACATAAGTTACAGCGGAAGGCACTGACCAGCATGAAGTCGTAGAGTTGCGGGTAGCGCAGGAAGAACATCCTGCCGGTCATGGTGTTCCTGCTGGACAGCCGGTCCGCGCTCCGCACCGAACATAAGTTACAGCGGAAGGCACTGACCAGCATGAAGTCGTAGAGTTGCGGGTAGCGCAGGAAGAACATCCTGCCGGTCATGGTGTTCCTGCTGGACAGCCGGTCCGCGCTCCGCACCGAACATAAGTTACAGCGGAAGGCACTGACCAGCATGAAGTCGTAGAGTTGCGGGTAGCGCAGGAAGAACATCCTGCCGGTCATGGTGTTCCTGCTGGACAGCCGGTCCGCGCTCCGCACCGAACATAAGTTACAGCGGAAGGCACTGACCAGCATGAAGTCGTAGAGTTGCGGGTAGCGCAGGAAGAACATCCTGCCGGTCATGGTGTTCCTGCTGGACAGCCGGTCCGCGCTCCGCACCGAACATAAGTTACAGCGGAAGGCACTGACCAGCATGAAGTCGTAGAGTTGCGGGTAGCGCAGGAAGAACATCCTGCCGGTCATGGTGTTCCTGCTGGACAGCCGGTCCGCGCTCCGCACCGAACATAAGTTACAGCGGAAGGCACTGACCAGCATGAAGTCGTAGAGTTGCGGGTAGCGCAGGAAGAACATCCTGCCGGTCATGGTGTTCCTGCTGGACAGCCGGTCCGCGCTCCGCACCGAACATAAGTTACAGCGGAAGGCACTGACCAGCATGAAGTCGTAGAGTTGCGGGTAGCGCAGGAAGAACATCCTGCCGGTCATGGTGTTCCTGCTGGACAGCCGGTCCGCGCTCCGCACCGAACATAAGTTACAGCGGAAGGCACTGACCAGCATGAAGTCGTAGAGTTGCGGGTAGCGCAGGAAGAACATCCTGCCGGTCATGGTGTTCCTGCTGGACAGCCGGTCCGCGCTCCGCACCGAACATAAGTTACAGCGGAAGGCACTGACCAGCATGAAGTCGTAGAGTTGCGGGTAGCGCAGGAAGAACATCCTGCCGGTCATGGTGTTCCTGCTGGACAGCCGGTCCGCGCTCCGCACCGAACATAAGTTACAGCGGAAGGCACTGACCAGCATGAAGTCGTAGAGTTGCGGGTAGCGCAGGAAGAACATCCTGCCGGTCATGGTGTTCCTGCTGGACAGCCGGTCCGCGCTCCGCACCGAACATAAGTTACAGCGGAAGGCACTGACCAGCATGAAGTCGTAGAGTTGCGGGTAGCGCAGGAAGAACATCCTGCCGGTCATGGTGTTCCTGCTGGACAGCCGGTCCGCGCTCCGCACCGAACATAAGTTACAGCGGAAGGCACTGACCAGCATGAAGTCGTAGAGTTGCGGGTAGCGCAGGAAGAACATCCTGCCGGTCATGGTGTTCCTGCTGGACAGCCGGTCCGCGCTCCGCACCGAACATAAGTTACAGCGGAAGGCACTGACCAGCATGAAGTCGTAGAGTTGCGGGTAGCGCAGGAAGAACATCCTGCCGGTCATGGTGTTCCTGCTGGACAGCCGGTCCGCGCTCCGCACCGAACATAAGTTACAGCGGAAGGCACTGACCAGCATGAAGTCGTAGAGTTGCGGGTAGCGCAGGAAGAACATCCTGCCGGTCATGGTGTTCCTGCTGGACAGCCGGTCCGCGCTCCGCACCGAACATAAGTTACAGCGGAAGGCACTGACCAGCATGAAGTCGTAGAGTTGCGGGTAGCGCAGGAAGAACATCCTGCCGGTCATGGTGTTCCTGCTGGACAGCCGGTCCGCGCTCCGCACCGAACATAAGTTACAGCGGAAGGCACTGACCAGCATGAAGTCGTAGAGTTGCGGGTAGCGCAGGAAGAACATCCTGCCGGTCATGGTGTTCCTGCTGGACAGCCGGTCCGCGCTCCGCACCGAACATAAGTTACAGCGGAAGGCACTGACCAGCATGAAGTCGTAGAGTTGCGGGTAGCGCAGGAAGAACATCCTGCCGGTCATGGTGTTCCTGCTGGACAGCCGGTCCGCGCTCCGCACCGAACATAAGTTACAGCGGAAGGCACTGACCAGCATGAAGTCGTAGAGTTGCGGGTAGCGCAGGAAGAACATCCTGCCGGTCATGGTGTTCCTGCTGGACAGCCGGTCCGCGCTCCGCACCGAACATAAGTTACAGCGGAAGGCACTGACCAGCATGAAGTCGTAGAGTTGCGGGTAGCGCAGGAAGAACATCCTGCCGGTCATGGTGTTCCTGCTGGACAGCCGGTCCGCGCTCCGCACCGAACATAAGTTACAGCGGAAGGCACTGACCAGCATGAAGTCGTAGAGTTGCGGGTAGCGCAGGAAGAACATCCTGCCGGTCATGGTGTTCCTGCTGGACAGCCGGTCCGCGCTCCGCACCGAACATAAGTTACAGCGGAAGGCACTGACCAGCATGAAGTCGTAGAGTTGCGGGTAGCGCAGGAAGAACATCCTGCCGGTCATGGTGTTCCTGCTGGACAGCCGGTCCGCGCTCCGCACCGAACATAAGTTACAGCGGAAGGCACTGACCAGCATGAAGTCGTAGAGTTGCGGGTAGCGCAGGAAGAACATCCTGCCGGTCATGGTGTTCCTGCTGGACAGCCGGTCCGCGCTCCGCACCGAACATAAGTTACAGCGGAAGGCACTGACCAGCATGAAGTCGTAGAGTTGCGGGTAGCGCAGGAAGAACATCCTGCCGGTCATGGTGTTCCTGCTGGACAGCCGGTCCGCGCTCCGCACCGAACATAAGTTACAGCGGAAGGCACTGACCAGCATGAAGTCGTAGAGTTGCGGGTAGCGCAGGAAGAACATCCTGCCGGTCATGGTGTTCCTGCTGGACAGCCGGTCCGCGCTCCGCACCGAACATAAGTTACAGCGGAAGGCACTGACCAGCATGAAGTCGTAGAGTTGCGGGTAGCGCAGGAAGAACATCCTGCCGGTCATGGTGTTCCTGCTGGACAGCCGGTCCGCGCTCCGCACCGAACATAAGTTACAGCGGAAGGCACTGACCAGCATGAAGTCGTAGAGTTGCGGGTAGCGCAGGAAGAACATCCTGCCGGTCATGGTGTTCCTGCTGGACAGCCGGTCCGCGCTCCGCACCGAACATAAGTTACAGCGGAAGGCACTGACCAGCATGAAGTCGTAGAGTTGCGGGTAGCGCAGGAAGAACATCCTGCCGGTCATGGTGTTCCTGCTGGACAGCCGCTCCGCGCTCCGCGCACGCGCCACACCGAACACGCGCACCACCAGAGCACTCAGCAGCAGGGTTGCAGAGTTCCTCTCCTGCACACGTACACCCAAAGACCTCTATATATACTACTGGACTTATGTGTATGTATACTTTGACTTCTTTGTTGGTCTTGTGGTCGTAACCGCGACGGCTGATCATAAGGCTTCGGGTTCGAATCCTGGGTCGAGCCAATAAAAATCAGTAGTTGAGTTGGTGTTTCACACCCGTGCATCGGAAGGCACGTAAACCAGTTTCCCTGCGCCCGATCTCTCTCCGGTCGTGTTGGATTACCGTCCCATCGGAATATGAGTGAGGGAATAGAGATTGCAAAATCGCACTAAAATCCGGTCATGCGTAGATACGTGACCTCAATCGGTCTGTAGGACATTATAATGCTACTAAAGCACGGTCGCGGAGCGCGAATGTTTTTATAGCTTTGCATTTTTAAACTTAATTCCCGCCATAAATAGTTTTATTTCTATTGCAACTAAGATAGTATTAGTACCTTTTGTGATTCGAAAATAAAGTTTATTCTCAGGTCATTATAGTTCACATTTGTATGAATCGCAATAATTTAAAATTCTTCCTGCTCCGCGATCACGCCATAGACGGACAACCATTACAGCCCAAAGTTCAAAAGTTTACTGTTAACATAGGCTTCCCCCATACATTTATAGATGAAAATTTTGCCAGAGTTGCCACGCTTCGCAAGCGGGTTGGCAACCGTAACTTTTTTATTTTTAGTTGTTTTTAGGAAGACGCTGCTGCCCGTCTCCTGATTTGTTTACCTCTGTCACCTATTATAACACCCACGGGATGATATGGAATATCCACTATGGACATTCTTACACCGCCACTACACGAATTAGTGACGTAGTGCAATAATACGTCACTAATTTAAAAAAGCCCTCAGGTTCACAACACTTACCATAAGAAAGAGCAGTAATGTGCTGCTATTTAATTTTTGTTTAATAACTGGCTTTACGGCTCTGGGATCTAGCCCTTTTGAGCCTGAAGTTACGATATATTATAATTATCCTTCATAGTATACTGCTTCGCAATATGTTGATGCGTCACATTGTGCAGCCCTTGGGAGATTTAGACGGCAACTTGAGCCAGCAGACAGATGACAGTTGGCGATGGTATCTCAAGGCGCCTAAGCAGACAGACACCTTATTTTGAGAATCACATCACCATCAGAGCACTTGTTTCACAGTTTCCACTAATAGTTCACATACGCAGACACTTAATACACAAAATCGCACCACTTTTACATATCAAAGTCCACTTCAAACCATTATTTAGACAATAATACAGGAACAGCAAACCGCCACCGGTCAAGTTCCCGCCAAAACTCTCTGCTGCTATTTAAGAAAAGTAAAAAGGAGTTATATAAGAAAGAGCAGTAATGTGCTGCTATTTTTTGCTGGTATTCCGTGAGAGCGCAGCCCTTCTCCAATCAAGCAGACATATTCGAGCTACAGTAAAAGACTTCTATGTACTAGACGGGCACTAGAACACTAATACATTGCGCACTAAGTTACGGTCAGTTCCCCGTAACTCCTTCAGTCAACTGCGAGCGTTAAGACTAGTTCTTTGTTTTGTAAACCGTGAGCGTTGTTTTCAACAATCTAACACTGATTTTGTTTAGTGTGACTAAGAAAGCGCGTGCCATATTTATTTTGCCAGCTACCCAGCCGGCGCGGCGCCCGAGCGGTCCACAGCTGTGCCACAATTTTTGTTCTGAATTGCCACTTTAGTAGTTTAAGAAGTCTTTGCATATAACTGAAGTTGATATGAGTGAACTGTATCATATTCTGTCATTGGACTGTGAGACTGCCTCGTTGGCTTAATGGTTGTAACCGCGATTGCTGACTATGTGGTCCCGGGTTCAAATCGCGGGTTGGGCTGAAATTCGTTATTGGGTTTTTTGTCCAGAAATTCTTAGTATAGTAATCCGTAGTCATGAAATTGGCGGTGTTTCAGTCCGGTAACTCAGATAGCACGTAAATCTGTTGGTTTGCGTCTATTCTCTCTCTTCATTTTGGATTACTGTCTCATCGGATTATGAGAGTGAGGGAATGGAGTGCACATGTGCTTGCGCATACATTTGGGTACTATTATCCTGTCTTGCGCAAATGGCTAGTCTCCGTTGAGATTGGTTGTTGTGACCGACATTCGGTCTGGAGCAAATTATTATTTACTAGGGTTTGAGTAAATTTGCAGTCAATCTATCATTGATATAAAACATCATCATCATATCACTACTGGTGTTAGGTGTAAATCACGATAAAAATATTTTTAGTCCTCGGAAAGGTGTTTATTTGAAGTCAGTTGCAGGTGTTTCTATAGTGTTTAAGGTATAATGTTATTTTGCTTTTACTTGAACGTTCTTTCTTGCTATGGTAATGGACACGTATAAATGCACTTATGCCAATACGTATTAAATAATACGAAATTATCCTATATAGTACAATTTTTCACCCTATGTTGATTAGTCACATTGCGAACTTTTTGGGAGATATTGACGGCAGCTTGAGCCAGCAGACAGTAGATGGTGTGTAGTGTTATGTTACTTACATATCATTTTTCACTATTTTAAATTCATTTTTCCATTCTGTTTTGATTTTCCGCATTGGATATTTTACATCACCTTTATTTCCATAGGATCCTGTAACAATTTTAAACCATAAGAACACAATAACAAATCATTTTTACTTCATATTTTCACGCTATCAGCACTTTTAAATCGGTGTCAATGGAGTCTACCTTTTTCGATCTTTTATTTAGTTCTCCGTAACTCTGCAATTTCGGGCTTTGTGCGCGCTGGTGCGCCACCTTTTTTCCTATAGCAATAATATCTCATTTTTCACTTAAATCTTGCCGTGTTTTTTTTGACATATTTTGACAACCAGATAAACAACGATGTCAAAACATGTCAAATTTTGGTTTTAGGCTCGTAATAGAGAAACGGCAAGATTTAAGTGAAAAATGAGATATTATTGCTATAGGAAAAAAGGTAGCGCACCAGCGCGCACAAAGCCCGATATTACAGAGTTACGGAGAACTAAATAAAACATCGAAAAAGGTAGACTCCATTGACACCGATTTAAAAGTGCTGATAGCGTGAAAATATGAAGTAAAAATGATTTGTTATTGTGTTTTTATGGTTTAAAATTGTTACAGGATCCTATGGAAATAAAGGTGATGTAAAATATCCAATGCAGAAAATCAAAACAGAATGGGAAAATGAATTTAAAATAGTGAAAAATGATATGTAAGTAACATAACACTACAGGTGATATCACAAAGATATCACAAAGCACCTATGCAGGAACATTACCTTGAGGTTCACATCACCATCGAAACGTTTGTTTCACCGTTTCCACTAATATTACATATGCGTAGACATTTGATACACAAAATCGCATCACTATTACACATAAAAATTCTATGGAAACTTTTATTAAACATGAATATAAAAGCAAGATTCCGCTAGCGGTCAAGTTCAAGGGAAACTTGAATATTAGAAAAGAGATGGGAGCGTGGCGGACCTGCCAGGAGTGCGCGTCGAAGGCGCGGAGCGCGTGCAGCAGCACGGCGGCCACGTGCGCGGCGGCGCGCTGCTGCAGCGCGGCGCAGCGCAGCAGCGCGCGCAGCACGTTGCTGGCGTGCGCGCCGCCGCAGCGCAGCATCGCAGCCACGCACTCGTCCAGGCACACGCCCTTCTCGCTCACCTGCAGCTCGGTGCTCACCAGCGCCTGCCCACATCATTTATTTATTTCTCACAAAACTACGCCATCATTACGATTTACGATTATAATATACAACCCTTAATTACACTTAAATTAAAAATAAATTACAGTTTTCTTATTGAAAAATTTAATACGAATAAGAATAAAATAATAATAAAAAATATTAAAACACAAGAAAATGAATAAACAAAAAAAATAGAGGATATAAACAACAATTCCTGACTTAATAATCGAAACAGATGAAGTGGCGGTAGGGACCGCCTCAGCTATGTTGGTCACTCTGGTTCTATTTAGCGGATATCATCATTTCTAAGTCTCACTACACGAAACACAACCTCGTTAAGCCGTTATTTTACACTGGTAAAATTTGTTAATTTAATTGCCTGATCATTTTAATTTCAAACCCAATATATTGTAACAGGCCGTTTGTTCTGTAAATATTAGCTCAAAAAGCAATTAATAAAAAGCAATATTAACAACGGATTTCAACATAATCGCCATTATTCGATTTTAACAACAGCTTCGATTTTTTTCTGATGACAGAACTGTTTAGATATAGAGTTTGACAGAAATGGATCCCTTTTTTGAAGAAAGGATTTTTTTTATTTTCATGATTCGACAGAAACCATTTTTATGATCAATAGGACTTTTACATATCACAAGCCTACAAACAAAAGTTTTCGAAAAGGCGGCCATTTTTTGTAGAAATCTGACTGACTCAACACGCATTTTAACGCTCGGCAAATTATTTATCTGATGGGTAAGCAGCGAATGCAAACCTGAATCATGAAGGGCAGCCCAGCACTCCTCCTAGTGGCACTGAGCAGTCCTGTTCCATCATCAGCAGCGATGCTCTGCAGCAGCTCGGTAAGCCAGCGACGAGGCAACGAGTGCAAGGACTCGCTACGACACCGCCACAGCCTGGAATATATCCCCTCCTCCGTTACATTACTCCTATCCATCTCTCCTTTTATCTTCAGTCCTACGTGGGCTATATGAGCGTAGAATAGCAACGTTAATGTTCTCTAGACAGAATTTTTATCACACACGTGACGAATTATCAACAGTGGTGTGCCTTTCCTAGTGTAGTGGTATAGGTGATAGTAGAGTTAGGATTGGTGGTGACGGTGATAGTACACGTAATAGAGGGAGGGAGGGTGCTCTTCAAACTAGGCAAGACACATTATTTGGATTATGAATACAGAATTAGGTATAAGTAACATTTTACTGTAGTTATCATATATTCTACCACAGTGTAGTGTACAAATTCATTTCATCAGTTCTAACCATAGACGTATATTTTTTACGTGACTCAGAGTAAATTAATTTTAACATCTTTTTCCCCTTTTGTGGCATTCCATCTTAGTCCTCAGTGTGGCAATTTTGATTCTTAATGGAGGGTTCTTATGTAGCTTAATTCTTAATGTAGGTGTCTACAAAATTAGTAATGTAATTGAGTATTTGTTTCATTATTATATACTACGCGTTCATTTCGAGTTTGGCGTCGTCGACCGTTATGACGTCACAGTTGATGGTACCGTAGACAAAACTATTACTGTAAGTGTTTAACTGTAAAAAGTTCCATTTTTAGTTTGTTTCCCTGTACAGAGAAACGGAGGGCAAGCAAGTTGATAAAATGCATATTATTAAACAATTTATTTAGTTACTAAAGTAAAATAATAACACTGAATAGAACGTGTCCGATAAAATAAGATATTTTTATTATAGTTTTATTATACATTTTAAATGAATTATTTACGAAGGCGCGAACAAAACTCACTACCATCACTCCATTCTGTGTTAACAAACTAACGAACGTAAAAAGTCAACAGAAACAAAAAATCAACAGTAACAAAAACAACAACAAAACAGTAACAGACTAGAGATCGCACGGGAGCAGAAACAATGGACGTAGATATATTTCAGCGTTGCTATCGGTACTATATGGGCGACGCTTGAGGCGCGGTATGGGGGCGCGGGGGGGGGGGGGGGGGGTTACGGCATTCATGTATTTCATATATTCATTTTATTATTAAATGAATGAGATATTTTTGTGGATATTTTATGGATAAGTGCAGGTTCTCCGAAATAAATTAATTTTAATTTGATTTCTTTTGATAAATTACAGATTAATTTACATCAAGTGGACTATGAACATCAACCTCACTTCTAAAAATCTAGTATATAATTATTAGAAACTGCCACCGTGGACCAGATTACGAAGTAACACGACAGTTTCGACATACCTCGACAACAACTTGGTGAAGCCCACATAAGCCTGCTCAAAAGCCCCGCGATGTTTCGTCTCCGTCAGGAGTTTGGTGAAATGTTCCCCAATTAGCACAACCTGTTGCTGGCTCAGAGTCCCATAGTCGTGTTCTTCGCCTTGGATGGTCATTCTTGACGACAGGGAGCCTAGTAGAAGTGACACCTGGATATACAAGAATCAAACGTAGTCTTAGCTTTTAACTTCTTTAGTTATTCTTTAACAACATATTATTGTTATTAAAAACATAATCAGTACTACAACTTTATTTGATCTATTGTCTTGCATATTGGTTAGACTAATGAACGCATATAAAACATGGAAGTATAAATTCAAGGCAATGAGTTTTCTGCCACCAGGGCGGCGCCACTTAGAAATATCTGACCGATATCAATTTAATATTTTAGAAAATTGTAAAGATTAATGTTTCTTTCTGTAACATTACTCATATTTTATATTAATTAGATTAGAAATGGATAAACCGAACTACGGATATTCCTATAATAATAATATATGCGTAGATATATGGATATAAAGGAGGCGAGAGAGGTATGTCAGGATCGTGATAAATGGAAGTCTGTAGTCTCTGCCTACCCCTCTGGCTGACAGGCGTGATAACTGGGTGACAGACATGAGTATTTATGTTGTTTTGTTGAAAAAAAGTTAAAAAAGTGTAAAAAAAAAATACAAAATACATCACTGAGGCATTGTTTTGTGTCTTTCTTTTGTGTCAATTTAGAAGAGTGAGTAAACCTAGGTTTACCCGGGTACACTTAGGATTATGAATGTTCCTTGGGCAAAACCCGAAATATCACCAAAATCTCTACCCGAGAAAGAAAAAGGACTTTACCCGAATAAACCTAGGTTTAACCAAACCCAGGCTAGGTAATGTTCATGGATTAGGTCGTTAAATAACAAACTAAAAGAATATGATAACTCTAGTAAGCGCCCAGAAATCCTTTCAGTTGATTTATGTTAGAAGGCAGTGCAGCTCCCGCCACGCCCCTGCTCCTTCCCCTCACCCCTCCTGCCAGAGAGGACACCATTACCCAGCCAGCGTTGGGTAAACCTAGGCTTATTCAGGTAGACTCCGAATCTGTATTGAATTTGGTGATATTTCGGGCTTTACCCAAGGAACTTTGAACATCCTAAGTGTACCCGGGTATACCTAGGTTTACTCACTCTTTTAAGTTTACCCGTAATATATATATACATACACTAGAAACCAAAAAAATCGCAACTATTCAATGATGATGACAATGTGGGCTCTCTCTGTCGAGTTGCTCTGCATCACTGCAGTCCCAATTAACGACATCAAGTTATTAGCCCTTATCGAGCTGCGGTAGACGTGGCGTGATCAGTAGGTGTGTAACCAAGAGCCCCGCAACAAAAATTAAATTGGGGACCTATCTAAACTAAACTAAATACTTTAAAAGTGCAAAACTACTTCATAATCAGCCCCTTATCGCCCACCGCAGGGCATAATAAAGCAAATAAAATTATACTTACTACAGTAGATTACAGTTATTATTATAGGTAAAGAATAAACCAAGAAGACAAATTTATTTTAACAATGTAACGTTTATATTCTGAAGGTGGGGTTCAGTTCGAGCCATTCGAGGTTTGTTGGTCAGCGGCCAAAAAGTCAAAAGTAGAAAGTTCTTTATTCAACTAGGATATTTTTTTTTCGAACGTCGTTCATGGAGGCCGAAGGGCTCCTAAAGTTTGGGGGCCCCGCAGCACTGCTCCATCTAGCTCTAAGGTAGCTACGCCACTGGGGGTGGTAGGCATTTAGACTCAATATTGCCGCGTGTTTTGAAAATAGAAAAATCAACTCACCTCCTTAACAGACCTCCAAGCACAAATCAACACCATCTGTGCCGTAACCAGTCTTCCGTCTTCAAGCCTCACGTTCCTAGGCATAAAGTTATAATCTATACATCTATACATATAAAGAAAATTGTAGTGTCTGTCTGTAATATTGAAATAACTGGCTTCTATTAAGCTCGGGAAGTTATTTGCATGCTACTAAGACATAAATAACCATATTTTCTAATTTTTGTCTGTCTTCGGAATGGCTGAACCATGTGTTATGAAAATCCACAAACAGATAGAAAGCAATGCCAGGAGTGATTTAGGTTATATTTTATACGAAAAGCTAATTTTAACTTTTTTTGTTGAGAAATCGAACAATTAGTAAAATAAATTGTCTTTGATGATTATTTGAAATCTAAATATCGCCCCATTTATAGATTCTACACAGACTAAGTTAGGACAAGTCGCTAGTAAGAAATAATGTTCACAATACTGTTATGAAAACTTATAGTGGAATTAGATTTGACCATAGTCGGATGAGTCAATACCGTGTAATGTCGGAATGGTGTTAAATGAACGTGTTGTTTATACTAGACATTGAGTTATATGTACGAAGTACTAGTGAAGCCTTTCTAAACAAAAAATGTACACTACTCTATATCTTCGCGCATGAGCGGGAGTTAGTAAAGTCGCGCATGCGCAGCCAGTTTATATAAAGAAATATATTTTTTCATGAAATTTTCTTTATGTAATATTACTATATTATTACCTAGTTATTCACTGGAACAACAAATAATTTTACTTACTTGACTACTGAATTGTTATTTACGTCCAGGTTTAAACTTTAATTTGAAATATTGTATTATTAGCGCCGCTTCACACTGCACGTATATTGAAACCACAGACTAACTAGTAGATTGAAACCACACTAAATGACACACTGTACGGATTGCAGTACAGTTGAGTTGAACATAGTGTATGTTTGGAATACGCAATCTAGTACGTAGTACATATATATATCGATGGTACTAGAACTTTAATTATACTGCTCTCTCATTCTAATCTACACTTAATACTAATATCATAATATATATTGTTGGGAGTGACGGGGAGGCTATAGGCATATAGCACTACAAACGTATGGTGGTCAGTAAAAGAATCTACCAGTCTACGTCCCGTACGTCCCGAACGTCCCGTAAAAAAGAATAGTTATAGGAAAGTCAAAAAAATATGATGCATGTAACACAATCTATCAATGAAAAGGCCACGGAGGCATCATATTTAGTTAGCTATCGCATTGCATAAGCAGGTGAAGCGCACACTATCGTTGAGAATTCAATAAAGCCATGTGTGTTAGACATAACAAAATGTATGCTCGATGAAAAATCTGCAAAGCATCTTTCTACTGTACCGCTATCAAACGATACTGTTTCAGGGCGAATCCATGATCTGGCAAGCTACGTCAAACAAGAACTAGTTGCACGTCTACAAAAAACACGATTCGCCTTGCAAATGGATGAGTCAACTGATGTCACTGTTCTTCTTTTATTAAATAGGTTATACTTCAGAGGCGGTCCCGTATAAATTTGGAGAATATTTTTTCACTCCTAATGGTTTCAAAATATGGGAAGAAGTTTGTAATGGAACTATTTAAAAGATATTGTGATAGTGTATTTTTAATTCACTTAAAACGGTGAAAAATAATTGCTTTTAATTAATAATTTAATAATTTTTAATAATTTAAAAATTTATTTCAAGAAACTGTACAATTAATTCAAATAATGTCCGAATTTAAAATAGTCTACAATAATAATAAAAGTAAAAGTAAAAACCGATTTCATATAATTATAATTTAAAATTAAAAACTTTGTACAGCCGACTTCAATATAAGTTATTTAAGAATAACTCAAAAACTATTGGTCTGACCTTGATCAAATTCATATGGGACTACACGAGAACTGTGAACTTTCATATAAAAAAGAATCATCGAAATCGGTTCACCCAGTACAAAGTTATGAGTTAACACATAAAAAAATACGGCGTCGAATTGAGTACCGTCTCCTTTTTGGAAGTCGGCAGAAAAAGAATAAAAACATTTCACATACTGAAATTCAGTCAATTATTCTAATATTCTATACAAATGTCTTAGCATCGACTCCAGAACGTCGAATTATCAATTATTACCTTCTTATTAAGTTTTTTTTTTAAATATATTGTATTTAAGTGGGTCTTACCCTGAATTTCCATGATCGGTGATCACAACCCCCGACATGTCCATGGGTAAGTGACCCTCTGGCGAGGAGTTGTTCACAACGCACGCCACTGCTGCGTTCACCTCCACGCAAGTGTTGATTATCTGCTCTATTAGTGATGACCAGGACTGATCCTGGGATATAGAGCTGGAAATAAAAACATATAAAAATAGATTCGAGGTATATAACAACATTTAATAGATTAGTGGTATTACTCATGTACCTTTTTTTATGTAGGGTAGAAGATATGCTACAGATATATTGTGGTTGTAGCACGAATGGGTCGGCTTTATCAGCGGAGAACAACGCTCTCACAGAATACCAGTGTGAAATAGTAGCTCAAAGCTGCTGTGTTTCGTATGGTGAATGTTGAGCATCTTCGCTATCATTGAAAAGTTCATCTACTACTTTGGGTAATTTAACAAGTCTTAACAAGACTTAACAAGCGGCGTAAGTATATTGACATAACACATTACTGCATAGATGCAGGTGAGAAAATCGGCCAGTAGCCGACGCTTTCGTGCTACTAATATAATTTAGATGCAGCATGACTCTACCACGTATGTGTGTGTACTGACCCGGGTACAGTTGTTCCAGCAGGTGGCGCGTCGCATGCAGCAGGCCGTGCAGCGGCGCCTCGCCCGCAGCTGTATATATGTATATAGAAGTGTTTGGTAGCATCCCCTATGCACTGACCCCAGATGCAGGTGTTCCAGCAGGTGGCGCGTCGCGTGCAGCAGGCCGTGCAGCGGCGCCTCCCCCTCAGCTGTATATATGTATATAAAAGTGTTTGGTAGCATTCCCTATGCACTGAACCCGGATGCAGGTGTTCCAGCATGTGGCGCGTCGCGTGCAGCAAGCTGTGCAGCGGCGCCTCGCCCGCCGCTGTATATATGTATATAGAAGTGTTTGGTAGCATCCCCTATGCACTGACCCCAGATGCAGGTGTTCCAGCAGGTGGCGCGTCGAATGCAGTAGGTCATGCAGCAGCGCCTCGCCCGCAGCTGTATATATGTATATAGAAGTGTTTGGTAACATCCCCCATGCGCTGACCCCGGATGCAGGTGTTCCAGCAAGTGGCGCGTCGCGTGCAGCAGGCCGTGCAGCGGCGCGTCGCCCGCAGCTGTATATATGAATATAGAAGTGTTTGGTAGCATCCCCTATGCACTGACCCCAGATGCAGGTTTTCCAGCAGGTGGCGCGTCGCATGCAGCAGGCCGTGCAGCGGTGCGTCGCCCGCTGTTGTATATATGAATATAGAAGTGTTTGGTAGCATCCCCTATGCACTGACCCCGGATGCAGGTGTTCCAGCAGGTAGCGCGTCGCGTGCAGCAAGCCGTGCAGCGGCGCCTCGCCCGCAGCTGTATATATGTATATAGAAGTGTTTGGTAGCATCCCCTATGCACTGACCCCAGATGCAGGTGTTCCAGCAGGTGGCGCGTCGCGTGCAGCAGGCCGTGCAGCGGCGCCTCCCCCTCAGCTGTATATATGTATATAAAAGTGTTTGGTAGCATTCCCTATGCACTGAACCCGGATGCAGGTGTTCCAGCATGTGGCGCGTCGCGTGCAGCAAGCTGTGCAGCGGCGCCTCGCCCGCCGCTGTATATATGTATATAGAAGTGTTTGGTAGCATCCCCTATGCACTGACCCCAGATGCAGGTGTTCCAGCAGGTGGCGCGTCGAATGCAGTAGGTCATGCAGCAGCGCCTCGCCCGCAGCTGTATATATGTATATAGAAGTGTTTGGTAACATCCCCCATGCGCTGACCCCGGATGCAGGTGTTCCAGCAAGTGGCGCGTCGCGTGCAGCAGGCCGTGCAGCGGCGCGTCGCCCGCAGCTGTATATATGAATATAGAAGTGTTTGGTAGCATCCCCTATGCACTGACCCCAGATGCAGGTTTTCCAGCAGGTGGCGCGTCGCATGCAGCAGGCCGTGCAGCGGTGCGTCGCCCGCTGTTGTATATATGAATATAGAAGTGTTTGGTAGCATCCCCTATGCACTGACCCCGGATACAGGTGTTCCAGCAGGTGGCGCGTCGCATGCAGCAGGCCGTGCAGCGGCGCCTCGCCCGCATCTGTATATATGTATATAGAAGTGTTTGGTAACATCCCCTATGCACTGACCCCGGATGAAGGTGTTCCAGCAGGTGGCGCGTCACGTGCAGTAGGCCGTGCAGCGGCGCGTCACCCGCAGCTGTATATATGAATATAGAAGTGTTTGGTAGCATCCCCTATGCACTGACCCCGGATGCAGGTGTTCCAGAAGGTGGCGCGTCGCGTGCAGCAGGCCGTGCAGCGGCGCCTCGCCCGCAGCTGTATATATGTATATAAAAGTGTTTGGTAGCATCCCCTATGCACTGACCCCAGATGCAGGTGTTCCAGCAGGTGGCGCGTCGTGTGCAGCAGGCCGTGCAGCGGCGCCTCGCCCGCAGCTGTATATATGTATATAGAAGTGTTTGGTAACATCCCCTATGCACTGACCCCGGATGCAGGTGTTCCAGTAGGTGGCGCGTTGCGTGCAACAGGCCGTGCAGCGGCGCCTCACCCGCAGCGCGCAGCACACAGCGCTCGCACACCTGCAGCTCACGTCGCAGCTCTTGCAGCAGCACACACGCCAACCGGTACTTCACCGGTTCCGCTACCTCGCTACAAGTACCCGAAGATATTATTACCGAACCCGCCAATTTTGGACCAATTTCTCCACTGCCAACTTAGTAAAATTTAAAAAAAAAATATTCTTGATCAAATGTTAATTTTTTTACTGTAAATGATTTACTTCATAAAAATTAATTCGGCTTCACAAGGGGTCGCTCGACAACTGATGATGGTGTTGAGTTGATTAAATAATATCTATATTATCTTCAATGCGTGGGAAAATTAACAAGATGCTTTGAGTATATTGTGTTACCAATCCCAAAGCCTTCGATTGTGTTCACCATGACACATTAATCAGGAAACTTCAACACTACGGTGTAAGAAGTGATCCTTCTAAATTAATTATTTCGTATTTATGTAACAGAACGCAAAAAGTTGTCACTAATAGTATGAGCTCTTCCGGGTCAGTAGTGCAAATGGGCGTGCCTCAGGGCTCAATTTTTGGGCCCTTTCTGTTTCTTGTATATATTAATGACTTATGTGAATAAATACGAACGTGAATGTGAATTAAAAAGACAATTACTAAAATATAATGTTACTAAATATATGTTAATGTTATATCTAAATTAGTTAATTGGTTTAATGTTAATAATTTGCATTTAAATAGCACTAAAACGAAATGCATAAAATTCATGACTCCAAATGTCAAAAATTTAAATACTACTATAATGTAATTTGAAATGGGGAGGAACTGAGTCTTGAGGATACCGCAATTTTTCTTGGAATAACACTACTACGCGAAGCTTCAATGGAGCCCCCATATTATATCAAAATTGCAATCTCATGGATGTCGTTAGAGGTGACAAAGAGCAATGAAATAGGAGATAAGCGACATTACTCAAACTCAAAATAAAAAAAAAACTGTAAAAGCCAATCCGATTATAGTCTGTTCACTAAGATAGTGTCGGTACACCCGGAGGCGCACGTATTACTTTGCTTTTATTTTATTATTTTTAACTGTGTTTGTTAAATAAATATTTTTCTATTCTAAGATTAAAATAGAATACTATTTTATTCTTATGGTTATTGTAATAAAAAATGAATATGTCGAAGCGTCTATAAAATACCGGTTGGATCGAGGTGGAATTGAGGGTGTATCGAGAAACCTCACTTGTTTGTGCAGTATAAAGTTCACTGCAGGCACCGTGCGAGGGAGATTCCACTTAAGTCATTCTACGAGTGTAGTAACATTCTACTAGTGCTAAGATAGTGTCGTGGTTCTGTTCGTTATTGTAATTGTTCTAGTGCAGGCAAGGAGGATTCGTGTTGCTGAGAAGCTGCCCAGTATTACACTGAGATAAGTAGTGTTGCTGTTGGTTTGCATATTTTTGTAATTACGTACCTTACGTTACACTGGTGTGTGATTGTAGCAGGGACGTGTTACGGTATGGTCGAACTGTAATTTCTTTATACTTAATGATGTATAGTGCGTTACGCTGTCTTACGAGTATTAATGATAATGATTAATTGCGTAAGCAAGAGAGCAAGTTGAACATCCACTCTCACACTATTATTATTTTTAACAATTAACGCTATCCTGATGTATTTCAGAGATCAAAATTGGGATCCTCTGTCGAATCTCCGACAAATATAAATAATAAACACAAGTTAGGTAGCAAAGAACCTTTCACTACGGCGCTTCATTTTAAAATGCCAAATTCTCTTGCGGATGTACGCTACACGTGGCGACCTTTGAAGTCGCAGCGGTGCCTTTGACAAGATACGTCATGTGCCAAGGCGACGCGACACAAAGGCGACCGTATCTAAGCGAACAGACTATACAAAGCGTGACAGTTATGGAAAACATCTCCCCTGTAAAACAATCTATAGGGAAGACCAGTGGACTTTTGCAAAACTGTAATGAATGACTTTGAAGCTTGGATCAGTATTCAGTAATATTTTAATAATTTGTTTAACCTTTCTCTTTTCTGAAACTTTTTTGGGTCATACGGTAGGTAAGAAAATTCATCGCTCCATTTCGACCTTAAAGTGTTGTAAGATGCTAGAATAATCTTATGGCTTCAGATAGATGACTGTATAACCATCCCGATTACGCCAAAGGTAAAATACCCAAACCGGTCACTGGAAGCAGCGGACTGAAGCGAAAGTAGAAAATGGTTGTTTTTATTCCTTAGCAAGCGGGTTGGTAATCGGCCTCAACGTATGGGGAAGGCCTATGTTCAGCAGTGGACTTTTATAAGCTTTTTATATAACAGGGGGCAAACATTTTTATATAAGTTAATGGTAAGTGACTACCGCCGCCCATGAAGAACTGCAACACCAGAAGAAATGCAAATGCGTTGCCGGCCTTATAAGAAAGAGTATGCTCTTTTCTTGAAGGTCCCTGAGTCGTATCGGTCCGGCAAAATAGCTGGTGTTAGTCGATTTAACAAGGAAGTTGTGCGGGGAAGAAAACTTAGACGGCCGATCATCTAGATTGTATGGTATGGTAACGCGAGTTTTGTCGCGATGTGCCATGGTGAATTTGCTTTGTCTTTTTTTAATTTGAAATTGAATGACTGCAATGGAATGGCAGTGGATTAATCAGTTAAATGATTATGTGCCAGCAGACCGCGAACACAAAAACAAGAGTTCAAATTCTACGTTGACTACTTACAACCTTTTAAAGCTTACTTTTAATCAGTTATTTTGGTTTAATTAAACGCGATTAATCTTATAAAAACTACTTTCATTCAATTTATTATTACCTCATTCATCCATCGTTTCCCCCTTACACATAATGGAGTTAGTATGGAAACCTGATTCTCTTAATTATATTCTACCATATTATTGTACGTTGCTACAATATAGAATTTCGTCCTAAACGTCTTCATAACACTATGGCATAAAAAACAATTAAAGGTTCATTAAGAGACTAGCCAAGATTTAGCAGCAAAAGTATTTAAATCAGTAAAGCTAACACTTACTAATCTCTTTCTTTAGGGATACACTCCGGGAGCCTGTCCACCATTAATTGGAGCTTGTACGCGGCTGAGATGCAATCGGTCGGTTTGACGGATGAAGCCTGTCGCAATATTTTGTCTAGCTCCAAACCAATAACGTGCCTTTGCTCCTGAAAATAAGTTTTTATTTTAATTGAAGTGATAAACGAATTCAGTCTACCTGATGGTTAGTGGCCACTGCAGGCAATATACACCCGCAACCTATTTCTAACAAAGAATGCTACTTATAGCTGTCAGTTAGAAGGATATATTATATGGAATGCCTCATAGTCGGTAATTATATTGACCCTCTTCTGATTGACTAACTGCTTCTCTTATTTTCTTTCTCTTCTGACTGACTACTTCAAACCGAAACTTAAGAGCAAGCAAGACTGCTTGTCGGCAGAAATAGGTAAGAGAGTGATACCTACTCAGACAGGCTCCTGGGCAAAACCTATATATCGATCGATTCTACCACCTAGTTCGCATTTATCTACCGACTTCAAAAAGGATACGGTCCTCAATTCGACCGTATGTTTTTTATGTGTGTTACCTCATAACTTTTTACGGGGTGAACCGATTTCGATGATTCTTTTTTATTTGAAAGCTGGTGCTTCACATGTGATCCCATATAAATTTGTTGATCAAGGTCTGACCAATAGTTTTTGAGTTATTCTTAATAATTTATATTGAAGTCGGTTGTACAAAATTTTTAATTTTAATTTATTTTAATTTGAAACATCATCATGATTAGTGTCCTCCAGACCGAATTTCGGTCACGGCGGCCAGTCTGAACGGAGACTAGTCATCTGCACAGGACAAGATATGCACGAGTGCATGCGCGAACACAGGTGAACTCTCTGTTCCCTCACCCTCGTTGTCCGATGGGACGGCAATCCGACACGACCGGAGAGAGATCAGGTGCAGAACCAACGGCTTTACGTGCTTTCCGAGACACGGGGCTGAAACACCGCAAACTTCCTGAATCCAGGCTGCTTCTGAGAATTTTTCGACAGAAAAACCCATTAACTGATTTTTGCCCCATCTGGGACCTCATGATCAGCAGTAGCATCCACCACTAGACCAATGTGGCAGTCAAGTGATGATTACGCCACGTGTCACAGTTGCATTGACGTTGGAAGCTCTAGACGTGCTCTAGACGCTGTTTCAGGTCAACAGGTGAGTATTAAGCTTGGTACATTTAAGGTGATTATTTTATCTTGTATCTACATTACACAAACAAGCTAACACTCAATCTGATAGTTTTTTTTAAATATATTATGATAAGGTTGAAAAGCGAGCACACAGTCCACCTGATGGTAAGTGGTTGTTTTGGCCCATAGACATCTTACATCTATCCTTGCGGTCGAGCCGACCCCTTCGTGATACAACTGTACAATTAATATAGCTGCAACATGGCTCTACCACGTATAAGGTGGCTGCTGCAGCATCCACTGACATCAACTGACACTGATTGGCATTGACAGCATCGTTGATAAATTACTACGTCATATAATTTGAATTTGCTATTTATTGTAGTGTTTTAAAACTAGATCGATTTTCCATTTTAATTTAAATTAACTTTCTAATATCTAAAAACATACAAATAATGTAATAATTCGACTATTAAAACCATGACCTCATTTTACGATACTTTTATATAATATCTATGGAAATATCTGACTTGTAAACTCTTAAAAAGCAATTTAATTGATTACCAGGCTTGTCTCACACAGCGCTTTAGGTATGAAAATATACCTACGCTGCGAGGCCGCCTACAAGCGTCTAATTTCAATGAGTTACAGCACCAAGGGCCGCGGATTCGAATCCCGGACGGTACATGTATTTGTATGGCCTGCAAATAATTGTTCTGGGTCTGTTCTACGCATGTAAACGTCCCCCTGCGATACAGGATAAAATCCTAGTGTGGAGGTAACGTTTTTTAAAAAGAGAGGAAGAGAGCCAACTAATGAAATTAAAAATTTTGTACAACCGACTTCAATATTAATACGCATTATTATGGATAACTCCAAATCTTGATGAAATTTATATGGGATGTATAAATTATAAGGACCAGCTTTCATATAAAAATAGAATCATCAAAATCGATTCATCTAAAAGTTACCGTACACGTAAAAATACAGTCGAATCGAGTACCTCTTCCTTTTTCTGAAATTGGTTAAAATAGTATAACAGAAACAGAGACGGCAACTTTTTTTTCAAAATAGATTATAAATAATACTTAATGAAAATCACTCTTTTGTTTATTATCACTGGTACAAAAACCTCTGTCTCTGTGTGAAGAACCAGCAAGAAGCCCAGCGGGACTTTTTTTAAATAACAGCTTACAATCATGTATGTTACACAATTCACAACACAACAAATTAGAAATAGCTTGGTAGCGATCACCTCATTCCCAGGGGTTATTATCATCCATAAATTCCTTAATATTATAATAACCCTTTTTATACAAACTTAATTTAATAAAGTTTTTCAACTTTGAGCAGGTCAAATTTTGTATATTATCTGGAATTTTGTTGTAAAAGCGTTTATATCACCCCAATAATGAATTACTGACTCGGTGGAGTCGAGGAACTGGTATTACTAGCTTGTGTCTGTTCCTAGTATTTACAGAATGAATATCACTTATTTTTGTAAAACTACTTTTATTTTTGTGTATGTACGTATTATATATATATATATTTCTATACATTATATATTATATACATTTTCATAAATGTATTGAGAGGCCAAAGTTATTAATTTCCTTAAATTTTTGTCACAGTGACTCTTTAGGCTTTAAATCATAAATTGCTCTTATGTTCCTCTTCTGTAAAACAAATATAATTTCAATGTCAGCTGTGTGTCCCCATAACAAAGTACCATACGGCATTACGCTATGGAAGCTGTTTCAACACTGGTAAGATTTCTGATCTTTTTTACAGCATATGCTGCAGAACTAAATCTGCTTGCTAATTTTGATATATGGGGGCTTCATTAAAGCTTCGCGTCTAGTGTTATTCCAAGAAAAATGGTGGTATCGACAAGACTCAGTTCCTCACCATTTAAAATTACATTAGTATTTAATTGTTTAACATTTGGAGTCATGGATTTCATACATTTCGTTTTAGTGCCATTTAAATGCAAATTATTAACATTGAACCAATTTACTAATTTAGATATAACATTAACTTCGTCATATTTTAGTAATTGTCTTTTTAATTTGAAAATGATTGAAGTCTCATCTGCAGATAATACTATATTACGGTTATCCCCTACTATGTAAGGTAAGTCATTAATATATACAAGAAACAGAAAGGGCCCAATATTTGGGCCTTGAGGCACGCCCCTTTGTACCATCGACCCGGAAAAGCTCATATGGTCAATGACAACTTTTTGCGTTCTGTTACTTAAATATGAAATAATTAACTTAAGAGCATCACTTCTTACACCGTAGTGTTGAAGTTTTCTGGTTAATGTTTCATGGTGGACACAGTCGAAGGCCTTGGATAAGTCGCAGAATATATTCAAAGCATCCTGTGAATTCTCCCATGCAGTTAAGATATGTTTAAGGTTTCAAGATTTTTTATAGGATAGGGTGACAAACGAGCACACAGTCTACCTGATGGTAAGTGGTTGCTGTGGCCAATAGACATCTACATTTATCCTCGTTTGCGAATCAAAATGCAGATGCGTTGTCAGCCGTGAGGACTAAGATGGAATGCCTCTTTTACAGTAAAAAGGGTCTCCGGTTCTTTACACTCACCATACGAAACACACTAGTGTCAATCTGCTATTTTACGCTGGTATTCTGTGAGAGCGTGGTCCTAACCCGGTCGAGCCGACCCATTCGTGCTACAACTATACTACTAATATAGCTGCAGCATGGCTCTACCACGTGTGTGTTTGACGTCCAGATGTTACAGTTAGCCCGGCTACCTTCAGTTTATGAATATTAATTTTTGGTCTGATCTTCGCAGAATGAGCTTACAGTATCTTGAAGTCTTGCAGTGGTATGTTTGGGTTTGGATTTTTTTTAGTTTATTGATTATAGTGCCCATCCATCTTCTCTCTTGAAATTATTTTTTTTTTATTTCAATAGTCTCGCGAATCATCCTAGGTAGTAATAGGTGTTCTTTTGCTAGGATTTGTGGTCTATCAAATATAATGTAATGGCGGCGTCGATTTTGAACATGTTCACCGACCGCAGACTTCCTGGAACGTCGCTGCTTCACGTCAGCTATGCTTTTTACGCGGGCTTTTTTATTGCGTTTTGATTGCATCTATTAATTTCTAAGTCTATTTCCCATCTATTTTTACACCTACACATTTTATTAACTTGACAGGAGACATTGAGACTTATCCCCACGAACATTATTTATTTAATATTTCTGCTTAAAGCTCCTGATCGCGTTCATTACCTACCCGGTCGTTTACCTTGCTTTTTTAACAAAAAGTGTAACCTAATTTATCGATAAGCCAATACTAATAGAGCGTTTTTATTGTATATTGTTTTAAAAGACTGTCATGTGTTCCTGTTACAACTGCCCTGTTTCAGTTACTGTTCCTGTGAGACTATTACTATATGGTTATGGTAATTACCTGTATCATTTCCACAGGGCATATGTTCAATATTTCCAGTGCGAATGCCTTGTTCGTCTCGTAGCTGTCCTCGAGATGTATCAACAGATTCTCTACGTACTCTGCCTTCCACGTTCTGAAACAAGAAATGTGAAAAATTATTTCTTATGTATACGCAAACACTACACACTTATGTGAAATTACTTTCTACGGATTTTATAACGTATGTTAACTTATTTTATATTCCCGACGTTACGAGCACACCGTACAGTGGCGGTGTAAGATTATCTACTACCCCATTTCATCCCGTGGGTGCCGTAAGAGGAGACAAAGGGAAACAAATCAGGAGATGGGCCGTAGTGTCTTCTTAATAACGACTTAAAATAAGAAATTGCGTTTGCCAAACCGCTTTGCCAAGAATGGCAACTATAGCAAATATCACGTTTGCCAAGCTCTCTATATTTTTTTATAGACAAACGAGCACACAGTCCACCTGATGGTAAGTGGGTGCTGTGCTCCATAAACACCTGCATCTATCCTCTTTTAATAGGCGTCTCTAACGGTAACGGACGGTCCGACTAGGTAAGTCTAACTTCGACGGAAAGGTCAATCGACGGATTGAACTCGGCTGGGCAGCGTTCGGGAAATTACGGCATATATTCTCGTCAGGTATACCTCAAAACTTAAAAACTAGACTGTACAACCAGTGCCTCTTGCCAGTGATGACCTATGGAAGTGAAACGTGGTCCTTCACTTTTGCCCGTATGAGGACACTCAAAGTCGCTCAGCGAGATATCGAGAGGGCTATGCTCGGGGTTTTTCTGCGTGATAAACTAAAAAAACAGGCCTAGTGCGAGTCGGACTCGCGCACCGAGGGTTCCGAACAAATCCGTAGTTATATAAGTTTAAATCTATTAAAAATAAAAATTATTATATGATTTAACTAAAAATTTATGCTTTTCGCAGTTTTTCCCTTATCTGTGCTATAATACGTTGCTTCATACCAAATTTTAAGATTCTGAGTTCACGGGAAGTACCCTGTAGGTTTTGATTCCCTTGCGAATATCGAAAATTTGCGACATAAACGGCTGTATCTTTTGATTGCTTTGGCTTAGAAGTTTAATTTTTTCACAGCTTCAAAGGACAGTAGACTTGAGTAATTAATATGAATTTCAGCTTGATACCTCCACGCGTTCCTGAAAAAAAGGGTCTTGACAGACAGACAAGCAGACAGACGGATAACAAAGTGATCCTATAAGGGTTCCGTTTTTTCCTTTTGAGGTACGGTACCCTAAAAATGAGGATATCCGCAGTAGAACCAGAGTAACCGACACAGCCCAAAGGATTAGTAAGCTGAAGTGACAATGAGCCGGCCATATAGCTCGAAGAACCGGCAACCGATGGGGAAGAAAGGTTCTTGAGTGACAGCCTCGTACCGGCAGGCGAAGTGTAGGGCGTCCCCCCACTAGATGGCGTGACGACCGGGTAAGACATGCAGGAAGTCGATGGATGCAGGCGGTTCAGGACCGTGCTTTGTGGCATTCCTTGGGGGAGGCATATGTTCAGTAGTGGACTTGTGAAGGGCTGTAATAGTGAATGATGATGAACTGACAGCAATTGATTTTTATGTACAGAATTAGAAACCCAAGCAGATGGTAGCACTCTATTGAAATTAGGATGTTTTTAATTTCAATAGCCTCGCGAATTATCCTTGGTAGGAATCGGTGTTCTTTTGCTAGGATTTATGGTCTATCAAAACTGATATAACGACAGGGACGATCTTGAACATGTTCACAGACTGCACACTTCCCTTTTTCTTCATTAACTCCCACCACATTTATTTAGTGGTCCCATACCTTCCTCGTCGCAACCTTTATGTAATAACCTATTTTGGGAAAAATAATAAATAAAATCGATTCACAATTCACGACGATATTGCATAACATACATACAAAACAAAAAGAACAAACAGTCGAAATTGATGACCTATTTTTTTTTAAAGTCGTTGTCTCCTAGAACTAACCTTTGATATCCCTCGAGGTTGACACCTTCACACCACACGAGCACTTGCAGAGCGACGTACCGCCGACTGTAATTGACTCCTCGTATCAGACATCCGTAACAAAAATCGCGCAGCTTCTCAACGAATGACAAGTAATAATCTCCTTTATTGTATTCGTCATTGAGTCCTTTTTGCCTTTTCAGTACTTTGTAGCTGTCTTCAAGGCGTTTTATGAACTGTGGTAGAGAAATATAAGGTCAATTATATCATAATGTCTATTACGTCTAGTGTTATAAAAAGCCCTTGTGGATAGTACAAATATTCAGGTATTGTTGTTATGGCATCATTTCTTTCAAATGAGGGCATCATAGCAGGAGAGCATAGAGGATCATCATAGAGGGCAGCATTCATAAAAGTAGAACAATTAAAAAAAAGTTAAATATGTCCAAAAAATTAAAGAGCAAACCACTGACGCGTTGTTTTGTGTATTAATTTAATACTCTAGAAACTGATAAAATTTTATTAAAATACAACTTCTCAATTAAATTACATTGTGTAACAAAAAACTTTACCTCAGTGTCAACTAGCGACATCTGGTGAGCAGAACATTATTAGCCCTCATTCGTTTAATTATTTTGTAAATAGTTGTTCGTTTGTCGTCGTGCACGTTATAATTATATTTAAATAAGATCAATAACCGACAACTGATGGGGACATGTGTAGGGTGTCCCCCACTAGATGGAGTGAGGACCTAGTAAGAGATGCAGGAATTCGATGCAGGTGGCTGCTTTGTGGAATTCCTTAGGGATACCTATGTTCAGCAGTGGACTTATGTAATGAAGGTGATGAAGACCAATAAATTTTAGGAAAAAAAAACGTGAAAACTAAATAATCACAAACGGCCGGCGAACTGTGTAACGGTGGTGTAAGAAATCCACTATCCTATGTCGTCCCGTGGGTGTAGTAAGCGGCTACAGGGGGAAACTGAAACAGGAGATGCCACCAGTATCTTCCTGATAGCAACTGCAAAATAATAAAAAAAAACTGGGTTTGTTAACTCGCCTGCCGTGAGTGGTAAATATGACAAATATCCCCTGTAAGTGCAACATTGTAACGCATGTTGCTGACAGCGCACTCGTAACTTTACATCCCCTATGAAGCGATCTATGGGCACAGTCTTTAAACGTGGTTTTTTTACATGGTAGCGCCAAGCTGCAGCTATATTTAAAGTATAGTTGTAGCACGAATGGGTCGCCTCGACCGAGGAAGGACCACGCTCTCACAGAATACCAGCGTAAAATAGCAGCTTAACGCTGCTGTGTTTCGTATGACGAGTGTAGAGAACCGGAGCCTCTTTTTACTGAAAAAGAAGCATTCCATCTTAGTCCTCAAGGCTAACAACGCATCTGCATTTTGATTCGCAAACGAGGAGAGATGTAGATGTCTATGGGCCTCAGCAACCACTTAACATCAGGTGGACTGTGTGCTCGTTTGTCATCTTATTTCTATAAAAAAAAAACTGTGTTATGGCGAAGGCCACGTTTAACAATGGACTTTGATAAGTTCGATCATTTCCACATTTGACAAGTTAATCCATATGCCAGTTGACGTTATAATCTTGTTTAAGCCATACGTAAATTAAGTTTTATACGTGGTAGAGCCATGCTGACCGGGGAAAAGACAAATTCTCACAGAATATCAACGTAAAATAGCAGTTTAATGCTGTTGTGTTTCGTATGGTGAGTGTAGAGCACCGGACATCCTCTTTACTGGAACGAGGCATTTCATAGGTCATACACAACATAGGCCGCCTCCACTGATTGCCTCATAGAGAGGTGTTTGCCATAGTTGCCACGCTTGGCAATCAGGTTAGCAACTGCAGTGTTTTATTTCTATTCATTAGGAAAACGTTGCTGCCCATCTGCTGATATGTTTCCCCCTGTCGCCTCTTAAGACACCCACGGTATGATACTATAGAACATTCTTACACCGCCACTACACGGTAAGCCTTAGTTGCATCGATTTATATTCATACAATTCTATTAAGTTTAGTATACCTTTTTCATCAATGACAACGTAAGCTGCCTAAAGTTGGGAGCCTGCGCGTTAATATTGTATTTGAGGTACCACAGCACAAGCTCCAGCTCCTGCGCAGTGAAAGCCTCCGTGGATTTCGGGGAATCCACAATTAGAGACAAAGATAAGATGCGTGTCTGAAAAGGTTATGGTTGTATTATGTGTACGCTATTTATATTAACAGCTTATTAACAAGCGAGTACAGGGCACAAGTCACGTCACGTATTATTAAGAGGCTTCAAACGTATGAATGGGGGTAGCGAAGGGTAGTCGTGCCTAACGAACGTACCCTTATGCGTCATGCAACATCGCTGCATAGGGATGGCGTAAGCAGTCTTGGGCATTTGACAGTGACTTGACATAGGGAGGCTATTCAGTCAATACTAAAAGATATTAGTAATTTACTTTATCTGTTCATTTTAACTTATTTATATTTCCAACATATTAAGTGTAATAAATAATGTTATTTTTATAAAAAACCCTATTTTGTGGGACCGCATATCAGCACTAATAGTCGCGCCAAATGAAATGTTTAAAAATATAGAATATATAAAGATTTTTGAAATAATTATGGTATTCTATAAATTACTTTAAGAGATTAAGATTTTTAATAATTTCATTAGCGCGGGCATTTAACTCGGGTGGTTATAATTAATAATAATAATAATAATTGGTATTTATTTTCTCCCACATATTATGATCAGTACATCACAATAAACTAAGTAACAGTCAACTATACAACTAAATAACAGCTATAAATATTAGCTAAATAAGATGTAGGTGGGAGACTGGTGCCCAAACTAGGTTGCCCTGGGCTATGGGATCACCAGGCCCCTCTCTCAACAGAAGTGACATTGCTGTAAAGCACTTAATAATCAATACAGCTACGTGTAATAAAATGACATTGAGATATACTTGTTCAGTTCGGAGAAACTGTGTTAAAATTACTGCGATCGCTTAGCCCCGCCACCAGCACCGATGACATTGTAAGTCATAAGTGCTCGGCGGTGAAGAAAAATATCGTGAGGAAAACTGCATGTCTGAGAAATAAGAAAAAAATATTTCGAATACGTGTGAAGTTCGCCAACACGCATTGGGCCAGCGCGGCGGACATTTTCCTTGCCCTAAAACCCTTTCAGAAATGAGAAGTATGTGATATTCTTAATAATTTATATTGAAGTCGGTTGTACATTTTTTTTATTTAAAATTATTTATATTGAAGTCGGTTGTAATAGATATAGATAGTTATTTTTCTCTCTTTCTTTCTTTTACGTCTGTCTATGTCTAAAACAACAAAATAAACTCACCTCATCAACTACATTGACGGCAGCCATTTTCAAAATCTCGTAACTGATGAGGCCTTTCCACTCTTCATCGGTCGCTTCCAACTTCCCCGCAACATTGGATTTTCGAACGACGCTCAGTAGCATTAAGACGCATTTTAGATCGTCACGACCGTTTTCGTTTGTACTTGGCAACTGTTTTATGTAGGGTAGTCTGCGAAGATTAATAATAATAGTAAAATATTTATTCACTGTCCTGAATTAGCAAAGCGTATAAAAAGAAAAACTAATAAACGATAATAATGTAAGCGGAACAATGAAGGCCTTTCTCAGCGTGTATAACAGATAATCTACAACGCTCTTATTCTACCAGCATCGTTTACTTAAAAACTAAGTGCAATGTATTAATGGTATGGATGGTAGAACTCCTTTTATATAGAATGTGCGAGATATGTGTGGGTATGTGCGAAGTTGTTGGCTAATAATGCACTAGTTACTACCCAAGCAGCATGCAAGCTGTATACGAGCTGTATTGGAGTTTCTTTTTATACTAGAGGCTGCATTTACGGGCTGTACAAAGGCTGTATAAGCGCTTATACAGTTCTTATAAGTAAAAAATTTGCATTTATTCAGCTTTATGCGTTAGTAACGCTGTACAGTAGCTGTACAAGCATAAAAGGGGCTGTATAATAGCTGTATTATAGCTGTTATTTGGTGTACAAGGAAACTATTACACTACAAATAATATCTTATAAGTATCTTTTACAGATAAACGTTCTAAATTGGTGTTTGAACGGTATCACAAATGAATTTATGACCAAAATAACTTAACAGATTTATTTATATACTTTATTGAATGATGGCGACATTTAGTGAGTGAAAGATTATATTACATATTAATTTATAATATATATTATGAATCAAAATGCATTTGTGTTGTCGCAAAACAATTCTTAGTAAAAAGTTTCCAGTAAAAAGTGTCTCCGGTTCTCTACATTCACCATACGATACATAGCAGCATTAAGCTGCTATTTTACGCTGGTATTCTGTGAGAGCGTGGTCCTTTCCCGGTCGAGCCGACCCAATCGTGCTACAACTATACTATTAATATAGCTGCAGCATGGCTCTACCACGTATAAAAAGTTAATCATTAATGCCTCGTTTCAAGTAAAAAGGGTCTCCAGTTCTCTACATTCACCATACGATACATAGCAGCATTAAGCTGCTATTTTACGCTGGTATACTGTGATTGCGTGGTCCTTTCCCGGTCGAACCGACCCATTCATGCTACCATAATATAGCTGCCGCTTCTTTTGGTAGTTTATTAAAATATTAAGTAATGACATAAAACTTACAAATAATCCATTATATTCTCATCTAGTTTTACAGCCTGCAGCAGAATATTTTCTAGAATGTTCAACACTGCCGAATCCAAAGCATTCGTCGTCACATGTGATAGTATGGGTTTCACCCAGCTTTTGTACAACTTTTCGCTCGAAGTTTCTTTGGAATGTCTGTGAAGTAGAGTCTCAAGCGCAGTTGTAGCCTAAAAATTAATTTATTTTTGACTTAGCGGTCAGCCAACGCGGTCTTTTTCACCTGAGTATGCCTCGTTTATGGTCTATGGCCTCGGTGATGTGTCTTTCCTAGTGTAGTGGTGTTGGGGTTAGTGGTGTTGGGGTTAGTGGTGACGGGGATAGTGCACGTAATTGAGAGAGAGGGGGGGTGCTTTTCAAACTAAGCAACACACATCATTTTATTTTTTTAACATCTTTTTATTTATCTGCATGTACGTATAAATGTAAATGAATTTCTAATTCAGTTTTTACTCACTTTCGAACCTCTGAATAATTTGAATTTTATGCAGACGTATTAAGAACTGATCCCAATAAAATAGTTGCCCCTCCGTAGCCGAATCGTTAAGCCTCCTCTACACTACTCGCGAAGTAGATCAAAGTTGGACGAGGCGAATAGTGTACTAGGTACTTAGATTCGCTTCATGCAATCTCGCTTCGCCTCGGGCGACTTCCGATCGCTGTCGGTTTTTTTGCGCCAGAGTCAAAGGACTTCGCGAAGTACCCCGAAGTTTCTCACTACACTACTCGGTTTAAGCCAGTTATTAATATTTTTTTATATATAAATATGTAGATTTCTACATAATTATTTATTTAGTTAACGCATTGACGTCGAACTGTTCACACAATTAGGTACCTATAGCAGCTGCCTCTTGTTATTCATGTTAAAGGTGCGGGAGACTCAAGACAGCTGAGCTCTTCGCGAAGTAGCACGAGTGTGTGGTCACGTTCATCGGACTGCGGTCGACTTCGACGAGCACTTCATCAAAGTTACTTCGCGACACTACTCGCGAGGAGGCATTATGTTTACGAACGCGTGTAAAGTAATAACGCCATTTTATCGAACAATTTCTTTGATTTGACTCTCAAGGTGACAGTGTTACGTAAAATAGACTCTTGACGGTGTAAACGCGACTAATTAAGGAAATGGGGAGTGCAATTGTGCTCTTTCACTATAATCCTGTCCTGCGCAGATGGCTGGACGCCGCCGAGACTGGTCGCCATGACCGAATTTCGGTCTGGAGGACATTATTATTATAGAGAAGTTGCATGTTTTTGTTTTGAAAGTTTACCAAATATTATTAAGAAAATTTTAATAAATAATTTTTTAACGATTTCCCATCATCATCATCATCATCATTACAACCCTTCATAAGTCCACTGCTGAACATAGGCCTCCCCCAAGGAATGCGACAAAGGACGGTCCTGGGCCACCTGCATTCATTGACTTTTCTGCATGTCTTACCAGGTCATCACTCCATCTAGTGGGGGACGCCCTACACTTCGCCTGTCGGTACGAGGCTGCCACTGGTGAACCTTTCTTCCCCATCGGTTGTCGGTTCTTCGAGCTATATGGCCGGCCCATTGCCACTTCAGCTTACTAATTCTTTTGGTTATGTCGGTTACTCTGGTTCTACTGCGGATATCCTCGTTTTTAAGTCTATCACGCAGAGAAACGCCGAGCATTGCCCTTTCCATAGCTCGCTGAGCGAGTTTGAGCTTCTTCACACGACCAGCAGTGAAGTACCACGTCGCAGATCCGTAGGTCATCAATGGCAACACGCGGTTGTATAATCTAGTTTTGAGGTTTTGAGGTATGTCTAAAGAGAAGATATGTCGTAATCTCCGAACGCTGCCCAGCCGAGTTGAATCCGTCGATTGAACTCTCAGTCGAAGTTGGACTTACCTAGTCGGACTATTTGTCCCAGGTAAACATATTCGTCAACAACTTCGAGCTTAATGCTCCCAACAACTACCGGCATAGGTGTGACATGGACGTTAAACATGATTTTTGTTTTGTCCATGTTCATCTTAAGACCTATTCGTTGGAAGACACTATTGAGATCATAGCATAGTGCTTAGATCGTCCAGCGATTCTGCCATAAGGACTATATCGTCGGCAAATCGAAGGTGAGTGATGTACTCGCCATTGATGTTGATACCGTATCCTTTTCAGTCCAGTAGCTTGAAAACGTCTTCCAATGCAGCGGTGAAGAGTTTCGGGGATGTAACTTCACCCTGTCTTGCACCTTCGTACTCTTATTCTGTACTCGGATAGCCATCGTAGCCCTACTGTACAAACACTTCAGCACTTCGATATACCCACAGTCTACTCGGCGCCGCTGGAGGGACTGCAGCACTGCCCATATTTCGACGGAATCAAAGGCTTTCTCATAGTCCAGATACGCAAGACAAAGTGGCAGATTGTACTTTCCGGCCTTCTGTACAATTTGCCGAAGGGTATGTATGTAATCTATGGTGCTAAAGCCTTTTCGGAAACCGGCTTGTTCGGGAGGCTGGAAGTCGTCGAGTCTGCGTGCGAGACGATTCGTAATTGCTCTCGAAAACAGCACGTAGACGCGGCTTAGAAGGGAAATCGGTCTGTAGTTCTTCAAGAGAGCGTTGTCGCCTTTCTTGAAGAACAAGACCACCGCACTTCTGCTCCACGCCTCCGGTGTAGTGCCACCATTGAAGACGGAATTAAAGAGCTTCTGAAGAACTTTAAGTACCGGTTTTCCACCCGCTTTCAGAAGCTCCGCTGTAATTCCATCCTCGCCTGGGGCCTTGTCGTTTTTAAGGTGCTGGAGAGCCATTTTAATCTCGCTCAGACTGATGTCCGAGATATCATCGGAATAGTGTCGGATAAGAATTACTCTTGGATCGTTACTCACACTTGCGTGTGGTTCCAACGATGACGTGTACAACTGCCCATAGAACCTCTCAATCTCACTCAAAATCTCAGGTGTCTCGGAAACGATGCTGCCATATTCGGTCTTCAGCTTCGAAAGACTTTGGAGCCCTGGTTCCGCTCGATCGTTTCTTCAATACGAGAAGTATTAAAGTTGCGTAAGTCCCGCCGCATGCGTTTGGAGATCTGTCTATTCAGTTGCCCGTACGCTATCAAATCTACTGAAGACTACAGCTTCATTTCCCGTCTAACAGCCATAAGATTAAGAGTGTGATCGGAGAGTTTTTGTGTTCTTCTGCAGCGGGTCTTGCAAAACTTAGCACCGACCGCATGGACAGTTTCCACCAGCTTGTCATTTATATCGTCCACTACATTGCAATCTTCTAGGCACTGAAAACGATTTTGTAACTCGAGCTGAAAGGTTTCGGGACTTTGGACTAGAGCACGAGGGGGACAGAGCGTTGACTTCATTAGACGTGACCTCTCCAACTTAATGTTTAGGTTCAGTGTGCCTCTAACCATTCGGTGATTGCTACCAGTTTTCACTCTCGCGATCACTGAGACATCACTGAACAGTTGTCGTCTGGTCGTCATAATGAAGTCAATGTCATTTTTTGTCGAACCGTCGGGGCTCGACCAGATCCACAACCTAAGGGGTCGCTTCTGGAAGAAAGAGTTCATCTTAAAGAATCCCTCTTTCCCCATGAAGTCAGGCAGCGGCTGGCCTCTTGGGTTCCGTTGACCTATTCCGAATTTCCCTACTTTCAGCTCACCGTTCTCTCTCTCTCTCTCTCTCTCTCTCTCTTGTGCCTAGTTTTGCGTTGAAGTCTCCCATTAGCACCGTATAGTGGGTTTGGATCTAGAGATATCAATTCCTCCACCTACTCATCGGAATGTGCTGAGGTTGGTGCGTAAACCTGTATGACCTTCAGCGAATACCGTTTGTAGATTCTGAGTATAAGGTACGCAACCCTCGTCGACACACTCCCAATCTTTACAACGTTGTTAACGAGAGACTTGTGGACGATAAATCCGACACCTCCTTGGGACAAATGGTCGCCCTCCCGGTAATAGAACAAGTTGCCGGAATCGAGGATTACCGTGTGGGGAGCACACGGTAATCCTCTCTTCGGAACTCTGATAATCCTATAATATTCCAGCGCAACTTGTCTATCTCTTCTTCCAGCTCCAGGATCTTCTCGTTAGTCCTCAGGGTGCGTGCGTCAGTCGTCGTAGGTGGCAACCAAACCTCCACCGGAGATTCTTAGCACCTCCTGCCCCGCCGTTACCATGGTCGCCACCGTAGCCAAGAATAGTGGGGCCGGCGGGGACTGGGGACCGTTTATTGTCATTGCTTATGTGGGGTATATTGCCGTAGTTGCCACGCTTGGCGAGCGGGTTGGCAACCGCAGTTTTTATTGCTTTTTGCTGTTATCAGAAAGATGCTGCTGCCCATCTTCTGCTTCAGTTTCCCTCTGTCGCCTTTTACGACACCCACGGCAAGATATGGGGTAGTGAGTATTCTTACCTGCCACTACACGGGCTGATTTTTCATGTATTTTTACAATCAAAAATGGGTTTTATAAAATGTAAATTCAAACGTCAGTGATATCATTATATCGCGTTAGTAACGCCACCACATGGTGAAATGACACTCATGTTTACGTTGTCAAAATTAAAAAAAAATTGTCATTGCATAATACAGGTTATATTATACGTTTTGTTAAGATACATGGTGATCCGAATATAGAAAAAACAAAAGTATAACAGGATTGCGATTGTCTCACAGCCTAAATGGATATAATTACGTCACAACCAATCACAAGTCGTTTCCTTCGTTCAAAAATGTAACTATTTTTTTGTTAATAATTCATAAATAAATGCACGCCAAATGGCGGAATATAGCTGTACTAAATGTTTGTTCTATTAGTGATAAACTACGTAAACACCAACTGTATCAACCTATACGAGTATTCGCAATAAACGATTTGAATACTTTAAATGAATTAATCTTTCATTTATATATATATATATATATATATATATATATATATATATATATATATATTTGTCGCGAAAATTTTCTATTATTCACGACATTCGTTCTTAAGGAGTAAACTCCAGTCACACGTCGGAACTGACACACAACATTGTTTGGAATTAATATAATGTATTGTAACATCGGTTTTATTTTGCATGTCTACACCTCGACCAAAGTCAGCTGTGTATGATTACAAGCTGTGAGGAATACCATCTTAGTCCTTTTTATAGGATATGGTGACAAACGAGCACACAGTCCACCTGATGGTAAGTAGCCCATAGACATCTACATCTATCCTTGTTTGCAAATCAAAATGCAAATGCGTTGTCACCCGTGAGGACTAAGATGGAATGTCTCTTTTCCAGTAAAAAAGGTGTCCGGTTCTCTACACTCACCATACGAAACACAGCAGCGTTAAGCTGCTATTTTACGCTGGTATTCTGTGAGAGCGTGGTCCTTCCCCGGTCAAGCCGACCCATTCGTGCTACAACTATACTACTAATATAGCTGCAGCATGACTCTGCCACGTATAAAAACATCCTCAGAGATGATAACACATGTGTAGCCTTCTTTGTGTGAAGTTGGCTGCAGGTGTCCATGAATTGCAGTTGGCCACTTACCATCAGGTGGACTGTGTGCTCGTTTATCACATTTACTTCTATATAAAAAAATATCAGTACACAGAAAAAAATAAATTATATTTAATAAAAATAGGTCTTATACTCACGCTAGCTTGTACAGCTTGAATATCCAGTGCTTTAATAGTGTCACAAATTGCGTTAGGCATTCTCTCTAGAATACAGCTTGCACCTAATTCTGAGGTGAGCGAAGTAAGACTCACATAGTAACTCTTTCGACTCCTGTCCAGAGACGTCAACGCTGTGAAAAGATTATCCAAGGCTTTGTTGTCACCTGGAAAGATAAAGTAGTGTATGAAGAAGAATATTATCATAATCGTCATCATCATCACAGCCACAGCATAATCGGGGAGAACAATAGGTATCTCTAAAGGAATACCACAAAGCCTGGTCCTGAGCAACCTGCATCCATAGACTTCCTGCATATCTTACCAATAATAATCGTAAGAATAGATTGGAATAAAATAATTTTGATTGAATATAGACTATAAATAACAATTCTTATTAAAAGTTCCAGTAGTAAAAGTGATTTTTTTTTACTTTTACCACTGGTTCGGGAACTCTTAAGAAACCCAGTAGGACTTTTTTCCAAATTTTTTTTTATTTATTTATTTATTCATAGAAAGAGTGTTACATAATTTACATTTCAAACTTTGCCAAACTGTATGCCAGTTTGTCGGCAAAATTATACATTATAATATAGGTTCTATTTATACATTATAATATAGGTTATAATTATTGGGATTGAGACTGTTACTCCTTAATACAGGTTTTTTTTTATTCTTGTTTTTTTTAAAAACGTTACCCCCACACTACGATTTTCTCCTGTGTAGTGGAGGCAGTTTACAAACATAAATTGCACAAGGACAAACATCCAGACCCGGAACAATTATTTGTAGGCCATACAAATACTTGTTCCGTGCGGGATTCGAACCCGCGGCCCCCAGCGCAACAACTGATTGCTAAGCCACTGCGCCACGGAACCGTCAATTCTCATTCTGTGCACAGCTACATTCACTAGATTGCAGGACATATTTTATAGATAGTACAAACAATGTAATGTCAATCCATGTACTACAATCACTTTAATATAAATAAAGTTTATTATTTATTTATTATTATCTACAAAATTCATTAAGGAATAGCATGAAATCGATCACTTCATTCATTCCCAGGGGTTTTTATCAACCAAAAGGCCCGCTGAGTTTCTTCTTGGTTCTTCCGACGACAGAGGTTTTTCCAAACCAGTGGTGAGAGTAAAAAATGACTTTCAATAAGAATTACTTGTACGAGTAATCTATATTCAATAAAAATTACTCTATTCTATACCATGTAATCGTATGTATTATAAGGAGGAATGCTGAAAGGGTCAATAAATCAGTTACAATGTAAGTTTGAAAATAAGTAAAATGTAATAGCTGTCATTTGGAGGTAGCGTTAGAAAATCCATCACTCTATTTCGAGCAAAGTAAACCATTTGGGGTTTGCTTCGTCATTCGCAATGCGTCCAGCAAAGGCGTGAAATAATTTGCCGGTGTATGTCGTTCTATTTCATTATAATCTGGATATCTTTAACAGCAGCACAATGCACCACTTATATAATAGTTTACGATCTGATAAAAATAGTAGAAAGCTTTTCAAATGTCAACCTCATGCATAAATGTGCCTTCTGTTGACTTATGGCGGCTTAATTTATGATCGTTTAACTCACCTTTGTTTTTTAATTCAGTGCAGTATCTAACGATGTTGGCCAATACATGTCCTGTCAAATGACGCACACTGTCCATGTAATGCTCAAGATGAGACCAGACAAACGTCAGGAGACAGTCAACTAGTTGAAGTCCTAAGTTTCTGTCCGAAACCTTAGCCAGAGTCTTGCTGATTTGTACCAAAGTTCGGGTCACACTTAGAGTGAAAGTGGAGTCAGAACTAGTCCTGAAATATTTACGGTTCATAAATAAGATCTTGTTGCCTTTGATGTTGTTGTTTTTATGTAATACTAGCTGACACCCGCGACTCTGTCCGGGTTGCTTGATATATTAACAAAGTTTTCGTATGTGCGAAGGAAAAACATCAAAAAGACAAAATTTATTTGTAAACAATGTTATTCGTTGCTCCGTTTGTAGCTAAAATATATAAATTATCTTGGTTAGTAATGCGAGAGCAAAACTTGAACAATTTTTTTTAATTGAAATTTGACATAGAATTATCGGAAAAATCGAAGTATAGTAATAAGGTTATTAGTGAAAACTTGTGTGTATTTAAACTACTTTAAAAAAAATTACGTATAATATTAGTGCTTAAGGAATGCACATTTACGAAATAATATTTATCACTAGCTGATATCCGCGACTTCGTCCACGTTGCTTGATATATTAACAAAGAAAACACCATCACAAAGCAATTCAGAGATAATTTATTTAAATTTAATTAGTTTAAAAACTAAACACTCACTTTTCTCCTATAGCTAGTATGTTATAAGTTAATTTAATGAGTGCAGACTCTCGACCGATGCTCACAGTACTCAACTCCGGCGTTGGCACAACGGTGCTTATAGCTGAGTACAGACTTAACTTGGCGGAGTCATTCTCCATAAGATTGTTAAATTCCCAATCGCTAACCTCCGTTTTTAAGATCTGAAAATAAATTTAAATGCACTGTCAAACTAATGGACATTGTAACAATGTCGATTATATGGACTTCGTTTCTATGGAAGGATTTTGGATTGAATGGATTCAATGGACATTGTAACAGAGTCGCTGCGACAAAAATTTAAGGAAATTAATATATATTAACTTTGGCCTCTCAATACATTTATGAAAATGTAATGTACGTACATAAAAATAAAAGTAGTTTTACAAAAATACGTGATATTCATTATGTAAATACTAGGAACAGACACAAGCTAGTAGTACCAGTTACTCGACTCCATTGAATCAGTAATTCATTCTTGGGGCAATGTATACGCTTTTACAAAGCTCAAATTTCAAAAACTTTATTAAACTAAGTTTGTATAAAAAGGGTTATTATAATATTAAAGAATTTATGGATGATAATAACCCCTGGAAATGAGGTGATCGCTACCAAGCTATTTCTAATTTGTTGTGTTGTTAATTTATATAACATACATGATTGTAAGCTGTTATTTAAAAAAAAGTCCGGCTGGGTTTCTTGCTGGTTCTTCGCAGGGCAGAGATTTTTTTTCGAATCAGTGGTAATTAAACAAAAGAGTGACTTTCAATAAGTATTATTTATAATACATATTGAATAAAAAAGTTTCTGTTTCTGTTTCAATGAAGGCTAATAATCTTACGCTCACCAGATGTCGCTAGTTGGGACTGAGGTGAAAATTATTTGAGCACATGGTCACACAGTGTCATCATAATTATTGTGTTTTAAATAAAAGTTTTTTTGGTATCTAATGTATTGTTGCGCGCGACTATTAATGTCTTGTACATGGCAACACTAGTTACACTAGCGCCCTCTAGTATAGAGTAGCAGAACTAGGAGAGTCAAGATCCTTCCAGAAATTTCGGGACCGATATGTACTCGAACATTCTAGATGTCGCTACAGCAGAAGGTTCTGGAAACTATCTGAGGCCCTATATAAGGCCGGTATAGACCACGACCATGACCGAGTCAGTATTGAATTGGCGATACAAGAGAATACTTCGAAGCGAAATAACTGCGAACTAAAGTGATTGTGTTTTATTATTAGTGTGGTTTTAGATTGTAATTAGTGTTGTGTAATAAAAGTGTCCATTTTGGTAATTCAATCGGCAGTTTTTAATTGTCTCGAACCCCAAGCTCGTAACAATTGGTGTCAGAAGTGGGATAAAATCATGCAGATTTTACCAAAGGACGACATGGAGGGTATCCGTACCCGAAGTCAACGCCAGCTGGAGACGGACCAGAGACGATTTGGTAATGCAACGCCGTAAACGTCGGAGGGCCAGCTGCTGACCACAGAGGCCGGCCCGTCAGCAGCTCCTGCATCTGCAGCACCTGACTTAGGTGCTCTGATGATGATGCTGCAGGATCAGGCTCGCCGACAGGAGGAACAGGCCCGTCGGTTGGAAGAGCAGCTGCAGCGCGGACAGGAGGAACAGGTCCGTCGGTTGGAAGTGCAGCTGCAGCCCGGACAGGAGGAACAGGTCCGTCGGTTGGAAGAGCAGCTACAGCGCGAACAGGAGGAACAGGCCCGTTGCTTGGAAAAGCAGCTCAAACGGCGATAAGGAAGAGGAGATGCTCCTCATGAAGGACCTTCACGCTACCTTCGGGAAAGAGATAAAGGAGGTGAAGGATAGGGTTGCTCAACATGACAACCGCTACATACCGTCGGAAGCTGAAACCCGAATTGAACAAATGAACAATCGGGTTGACCACGTGATGGTTGACGTGAAGAAAACGCTGGACGACCTCAAAATTGGGGATGGAGTTACAGCTCCCGTGGTAGCTACAACACCTTCGCTACGTGGATTCAAAGTGCCACCGTTCGACGGGACTTCTTCCTGAACGGCCTACAAAATCCAGTTCGAGGCTGTCAAGAAAGCGAACAGCTGGAATAAAATTCAGGCCATGACTGCTCTCACCCTAGGCCTGCGTGACCAGGCCTTAACTGTTCTGGAAGCTCTCGGTAAGGAAGTGACTTACGAGCAGCTCCTTGAGGCATTGGAGGCGAGATATGGCGACGCTCATCTGGAACACGTCTTTCGTGCGCAGCTCAAAGATTGCGTGCAACGCAGTAACGAAAACCTGCAGCAGTGGGCCCTTGAGGTTGAGAAGCTGATTCGAAAAGCGTACCAGTCTGTACCTGCGCTCATTGTAGGGAACCTGGTGCAGACATGCATCGACGGCATCCGCGACCTTGAAGTCAGAGCTGCTGTGAGGATCGGGCACCACGAGACGCTTAAGGACGCCTTGACCTATGCACTGGAGGTGGAAGCCGTGCGGCAGGATCATCGTCCCCACCGCGTTAGGGAGTTTGCAGCAGCTGCAGTTCGGGACCGCAATAACGGCTACACCCCTAGGTGCTACGGCTGTGGGGAAAGGGGCCATCTTCGATCCAGCTGCCCTAAGCGAACTGTAGAAAGGGAAGGTGATCGATCTCGAGAGGGTAGTGCGGCTAATAACACCGCCCAGCAGCAGCAGGGAAAGTAGTAAAAGCCAGGACTGCGGGGCGGGTGCTGGCTGATGTTAAAAGAGCCCCAAGGATTTCGATCTCACAAACCCATGATGGAAACAGCCTAATTATCAAGGGCGAAGTCAACGGAACGCCGTGTAAACTGACCATAGACACTGGAGCTTCTCGCACGGTTGTCAGTTCCCAACTTATAAGTCGGTTCCTTGGGGACTCCGCATACAACCGAGAACGCATTAATTTGGTGACAGCCACTGGTCAGCACATACCCGTCCGTGGAGAGAAGGAGATGGAGTTAAAGCTAGGCAACATGATCTACCTGCATAATTTCATCGTGGCTGATATAATGGACGACTGCATCCTGGGCCTAGACTTTATGAGGAAGAATTGTTGTGAGATCGACGTTAAGCAAGGTGTTTTGAAATGTGGACAAGAGGAACTTTTCGTGGAAGGGGCGTTACCAGGTAATGTGTACAGCCTTAAGAAGATTGTTCTTCCGCCGAGATCGGAAATGATTGTGCCGGTTAGTCTTCCTCGGAATCCTGGGCAAGCTCATCGTTGTGTTCTCGTGGAAAGGGTAGACAATGACCTTCCATGGAAAGTGGCTCGAACCTTGGTCAGAACCACCGACATCTCAGAAATACGTGTGTTGAACCTTTGTGATCAGGAACAGATTACAGAAAAAGGCACATTGGTTGGTACTAGTGAGGAAGTGGATTGGTTGCGTCGGTGCGAATATCTATCGACTGGGACCCCCAGCAAGGATGGACAAACGAGTGTGACCACACTTTTAACAGTGGTAGAGCCACGCGGCAGCTTTTGCTGTCGCACGGATTGGCCGGCTCGAACCGGGGTGGTACCACGACCTCACAGAATACCAGCGTGAAGTAGAGGTTTACCTCTGCGTTTCGCTTGGTGAGTGCAGGTGGCCCTTTTTACTGGAAATGAGGCATTCCATCGTAGTCCTCACGGGTGGCAACGCATCTGCATTTTGATTCGCAAACGAGGATAGATGTAGATGTCTATGGGCCGCAGCAACCACTTACCATCAGGTGGACTGTGTGCTCGTTTGTCACCCTTATCCTATAAAAAAAAAAATTAAAAGACTGTCGCAGCATTCTCTCCCCGAATGAAATGGTCAAGGCGAAGAAGTTGTTACTCAAGTACGCCAATGATTTCTCGTCAAACGAAGCTGACATAGGAAAGACTGGCTTAGTTCAACAAAAAATAAACACATGAGAAGAATTGCCTATTCGTCAGCGGCCAAGAAGATTACCTGTAGCACGTGAAAAGGAAGTGGATACCATAATTGAGGGAATGGTGAAGAATGGTGTTATTGAACCTTCACCTAGTCCATGGTGTTCACCTGTGGTGCTGGTAAAGAAGAAGGACGGCAGCATGCGGTTTTGTGTTGACTACCGTCGCCTGAACGACGTTACGAAGAAGGATAGCTATCCCTTTCCAAGAATTGATGACACGCTGGACATGCTCACAAGCGTAAAGTGTTTTAGTACGCTGGACCTGAAATGTGGCTACTGGCAGGTTGAATTTGACCCTAAGGACAAGGAGAAAACTGCATTCTCCACAGGAAAGGGTCTGTGGCAATTTAAAGTCATGCCGTTTGGATTGTGCAATGCTCCAGCAACGTTTGAAAGATTGATGGAGCTTGTACTTACCGGGCTAATTGGAGATGCCTGTCTGGTCTACTTGGATGACATCATCATCGTAGGCCATACGTTTGAGGAACTCCTTCAAAACCTGGAACGCGTGCTCATGAAGATCCAGAGTGCAAACCTCAAGTTGAGTCCGAAGAAGTGCTCACTATTCAAATGGCAAGTAGCTTTTTGGGGTATGTAGTGTCGGAAGAAGGTATCCGCACGGATCTAGAGAAAATTGCCGCTGTCAAGGAGTGGCCGATTCCAAAAGACAAGACACAGGTTAGAGCATTTTTGGGTTTGTGCTCTTGTTATCGGCGATTTCTGAAGAACTTTGCAGATGTAGCCAAACCTCTGCACAAGCTAACCGAGGAGAAGCGACATTTCTGCTGGGATGAAAGTTGCGATATTGCATTCCAGGAGCTCAAGAACCGTCTGTGCAAAACACCTATTTTGAGGTACCCTGATGCGGGCAAGGAATTCATAGTTGACACAGACGCAAGTGATATAGGACTTGGCGGTGTGTTGTCTCAACGGAATGGTGATAAAGAGATTGTGATAGCGTACTTCAGCAAGTCGTTGTCAAAGCCGGAAAGAAAATATTGTGTCACAAGACGGAAACGGCTTGCTGTGGTAAAGTCCTTGCAGCATTTTAGCAAATATCTTCTGGGGCGGAAATTCCACTTACGAACTCATACTGCACTGAAATGGCTAGAGCATTGTACTAGGCAAGAGGGTAAGGAAGTGGTATCTGTGAGGATGCTCAGGACAGACCAGCTCAGCAATGAGTGGAAGGACA